TGTATTGATTTTAAACCCAAGGTTCTTTTTTGAGTCCATCCTCCTCACTTCCTCTCCCTGGGGGCTTTAGTTCCTGTGGCATACCACCACAAGCGTGTTGGATTTGCTGATATTGTGCTTCAGGTGATTGTCCTATAATGTCACATAATAGGTCAGGTAAAACGATCTTCTATTGCACCAAAGAAAACATAAACATGAATTCAGAGTCCTAACGGCCCATCCACACGGCGGCGTGCGTTGAAGCTTCAACGCTTCTGCCCATTCACTTTGAATGGGGTGACGTCACGCTTTGCCGAACTGCATTGTGGTTCCATCGCTTCGCTTGGCACGTGTTGCTCGCTTCAAAAGTAGAGCAATGTTCTACTTTTGAAGCTTCAATGGAAGCGTCAGCCAATCAAATCATATGCCAGTGCAAGCTCTAGCCAATCAAACCGTGTGCTTGTGTGTCCGGGGCGGGAGATTCATGTGATTGGTTGTTGGTCGAGTTTCAGACACGCCCACCGGCAAGCTTTAACACATGCCGCCGTGTGGACGCTGCGTAAGAGACACGACAGATATGGATGTAAACGGATACTTGACTGGTTGGCTTACAACCAGGAGGTGGTTAGCAGCCAGTTAACCATCACCTAACAGCGCATTCATCCTCAGGTCTAAGAGGAAAAAGCTGCAAAGAATATTATATTCTGAAATGAGTGTACCAGAGCCTCTCAATGTTCCTCACCACATGTAGTGCCTTTCATAATAATCTGCCTTGGTGCGAGTTGTGTGGGTTGAGCAAAACGTGTAGTCATATGCTCAGAAAGGAATCACACAAAGCAGAGAGAACCATTATTTTCTGAGTTTTTACCTAAATTACCTTTAAAAATAGACCGAGACCAGCCAGGATAAATAAGGTCGAGCTATCTCAGAGTATGTTAGGGCAAAGGAGGTAGATGCAATCTTTTTAAAGGATACTTTTATATTAACTTCACACAAATGAGATCTTACAAAGCAAAATAAAATAGAAACACTGCACCATTAAAAGAAAAAGACATTAAAGAGATCTTGCTTATTTATAGCAAACATAATTATTTTTATATCCTCCCATATTTACTCCTCTTAATGCTTTTTTGTTGCCTGCCAACTATTCTGGAAATATCTTTCTAGCTGTTGAATTATCTACTATGTCCAACATATAGTTGCTTTTTCACTTAAAACATCAAGCCAGTAGAGTCGAAACAGTGAATTAAAACAGACTATTGCCTGTGTTTCATTCTATAGCCTTGCATTGTTCCTAGTATTGTTTCTACTGCCTCCTTTGCAAATGGAGTGGATTACATATTAGGAGTAACTACATCTATTGGATTGCATTTCATTCTTTAGGGGTTTTGATTTCAAGTCACTCAATATTAAGAGCTCTCATTATATCGTTGTACATATCTAGCACCAATGTTAGCTTGTTACCACACATGATGGTTGCAATTTGTATTTCATTTTTTAAATATCAATATAATAAAAAGCTGTGTACATCCAAAACATGCAGCTCTGTCAAATATCTAAGTAGTTGTGGTTTGAAGCATTTCAAAGTATTAGTTAACATGCATTTTTAAGCGAGAATACATTCCTCTGCACCCCAGTAACTGGTGGTGGAATGGCTCCTCTGTGTTATTCACTCCCTTCTCTTCATCTCATCTTCTCTGTTTTCCCCAACGACTCGGTACCATGATCATTTCTCATTTGATTCAGTTTTGCCTGGTAGAAGGGAGCTAAGCTCACTGATAAGATCTCCTTAAGAACCAGACAAGTTGTCAGTAATGAAGGGAATTGCTTTGATCCATCGACAAATAGGTCATTTAGACAGTGTCTGGTTTCTGATGCCGGATGATACAGTCATGACTCTCTCTCTTTCTCTCTCACTATCAATCCTTGTTGGCTGAGCGCTTCTCCTCCACTATCTCTCTAGACCCACATACACACAATCAAACAAAACAAAAAAATAGATGGGGGAAAAAAACCCAAAGAAACGAAAAACGGCAAAACACTTTTTTATCGGATTATTGGCGCTCTTGAAAATGAATTCCTTTGTTATTTATTATCCAATGGAGAATTGTTTTGTGTGACTATGTGGTATTTTGTGAGGTGTCAGATAGCAGTGTTGCAAGGCAGAGTTTCCCCTTTGTCGCTATAGAAAACAATTGTGAATAGAGTTATGAGAAGCTCTTCATTTTTTCAACATGTACCCTTTGTTTCTGAAGATAAAATGGCAGAATGTTAGCAAGAGCTGCTCACTATTGAAATGCCATTGCCTGTCACATTGTTCTGTGACAACAAGAGAAGACTAACACCCAGCAACAGCTATCTATTATCCTTTATCAGGTCTTTAATGCATACCAATGTAAATATGTATGTGATGGGCATATGTTAAGTTTGGTATACACAGTTGAGTTTAGGGTTTCTGGCGCAGCACCTCGACAGCTTTAGAAGCGTTTATGTGAACATTGTGGGAGGGAGAGCTAATTTGCTGGAATGACAGTCAAAACGTGCAGTCGAAACTCTTCTCCCCCCCACAAGCAGGACGACTTGAAAAGGGTGGAAAATCAGGGGGGCGGGGAAAACCCAAATGGAATTATGGAGAGCTATCACTTCCTAACTGGTGAGGATTTAGAAGCCACTGCCAAGGCCAACGGTTTGAAGTAATTTCATTTTTTCATGCATGGCTTCTGTCCCAACGGAGACCTGAAGCGAAGAAAGAGAGAGAGAGTGATGAGAGAGAACAGCGGAGGGGAGAGATGAGAGGAAAGGGGAGGAGTGGAGATGAGAGAGAAGGAGTTGGAAAGGAGAAGGGAGGGCAGAGGTAAGGAAAGACAAGAAGAGGGGAGGAGAGAAAGGGCGATGAATAAGAGGGGGAGACAGTTTGGCAGTGGGATGTGTAATAATTGCTTGTATTTTCTAATGCGACAGTAGAGGTAGATGGAGTCAGTGTGCTTCAGTCTCTGCTGTAGAGGAGGGTAATGGCGTTACACTGAGAGTTCAACTGAGCCACTAACTGATATTTGTTAGTTTGTCGATGTTTAACGGGTAGAGTTTCTTTGAAGTCATTGCAGTCGATGCCTGCAGCTTGTTAATTATCATAGCTGTCAACAGTAATTCGCTGAGATATGTGCAGAGCATTCTGACGTTCTCCTCCTTCTATTCCCCGAAGAAAACACATGCACAAATAGCATTTGTAGGATGTTGTGACAGCTCCTCTTGCATTCATACAGGGGAAGGTGTCTATAACTGATCACATTTGTTTGATTAGGAAGACACACCTCCTCAACCAGATCTTTCTAATGGAGATTTTATGATAATGTCGAGGCTGATGAGGAGGGAAATAGTCATAATAGCAGTGTAGTGATGGTGACAGTTTTCTTCTTCCACCAGCAGGAAGAGTCAGGATGACACCTTTCTAATATTATGTGTCTGTTCCGTGTCCTTGTTAGTTGCTTCAGCTATTTTCTCAGCAAGGCAGAATTCCAAGTGTGTCAAAAGTAGGGCTAAATTGGTTGCTCGAGTGCTGAAAGATGGAGAGGACTTTGGACAGTCTTTACTCTTATGGTGCACTCTGCAGTAAAATAAAGATTGATTAGAGAAAAAGGCTGGCCATCCGTGTGTGTGTGTGTGTGTGTGTGTGTGTGTGTGTGTGTGTGTGTGTGTGGTGTGTGTGTGTGTGTGTGTGTGTGTGTGTGTGTGTGTGTGTGTGTGTGTGTGTGTGTGTGTGAGCAGACAGAGCAGGACAGATATGGGCCACAGTGACATTAGGCAGATGGCTCAAGCGCTCAGCTCTGTTTACATTACTCTCACTGATCAAGCAAAAGCAGCCATGAGCCTAAAGTGAAACCTGCAGCAGGGTGTGTTGTTGCAGGTGAATGTGCCTACCGTCAGTCTACTGTGTGTGTGTGTGTGTGTGTGTGTGTGGTGTGTGTGTGATGTGTGTGTGTGTGTGTGTGTGTGTGTGGTGTGTGTGTGTGTGTGGTGTGTGTGTGTGTGTGTGTGTGTGTGTGTGTGTGTGTGTGCGTGTCCGCATACTGGAGTAGCTTTATGATTGAGTCATTTTGATACACCAGCTGATGTTCATGGGCTGTCATGTAGTTAATGGACAGAGATAGGATGCTTAGAGGTTTGGACTCAATTTGGGCAGTAAATTGAAAAACTCCTCCAGATGAGTTCCAATTACACAGCCCAAATCACAGGCCTAACAGTGCACTTAATGCACCTATTCACTGTCTGTCTGGAAGGAAAAGCTGAATCGAAGTAAATAAAGAACACTGCGCTTCCCATCTCCACCGTTATTCAATATTTCTGTTATGTGTGCACCCTTGAATTTGAGATGATTATTTCCTTCTTGCCCATTTTTGTGTTCTAACAGCGTGTATATTGCTCTAGCCTGTTGTTGCTGCCCTAATTACAACCGAATTATCACCACACTTTCCTCCCTAATTGCCATTATTGTTCACAACCTGTCTCTATCCCAGCTAGGCTCGAGCTCATCTTAATAAATCACTACCTGCCTGTCAGTTAACAGTAAATATATGTTGATTTCATTTCTCCTTACCCAAAAAATGTAATTGAATTTTCTCTTTGAAGCTGTCCAATTCTGCCAAACAGAATACATAGCGCTCCCTGTGGCAGCCCTAATGGAATCCTTGAGTACGTGGAAGCTAGAAATGCCAAACTGTGATGAATATGTGTGTATGTGTGTGTGAGAAGGAGTGTGTGTGTGTGTGGCCTGTGCATGTTTCCAGTGGAAAAATATGCAATATCAGATTTCTGGGGTTGTGTCAGGACGGAATTATTAAACTCGAGCTGCATATCACAAACTGGTGCTTGAATAATAAACACCCCTCAGCACATGTTGCTCCAATAGGTTAAGGCCGGCTGTGTGTTTGAGTTGAGATTCCTCACTGTAAGAGCGCTGAAACGCAGTATAAGACTTCACTAAACCATTGATTGACAGTTCCTCTTTGTTTGTTCTGATGCAGATTCGCTCAGATCAAGACAAGGACATATCCATCCGATACAGCATCACTGGGGTGGGAGCAGATCAACCGCCCAATGAGGTGTTCAATATCGACCCCGTGGTGGGAAAGATGTTCGTCACCAAACCTCTCGATCGAGAACATCGCTCTTCCTACCATGTGAGTAGTGTGTGTGTGTGTGTGTGTGTGTGTGTGTGTGTGTGTGTGTGTGTGTGTGTGTGTGTGTGTGTGTGTGTGTGTGTGTGTGTCAGCTGTGACCTTTGAAATAAGCCACAAACATCCTTTTACAGACAGTTGTCCCTTTAACACATAAAATATAAACCACCCCAACAAGCAGGTTTAAGGCAGAACCAGTTCTATCCAGTTCTATGTTATGAAAAAGCCTTCTTATAAAAACAAAATCAATAATTAATACAAATAAAATAATACCCAAAGAGATCAACTTAGATAAGAAACTAAAATAAATCAAATATAATCCTACGTCATTTTGATTGATATAAATTGGTGCTGAATCTATAACCATAAAATCAAACAAATAAAGCATATCAAATCCCTCACTTGTAGTATAATTGTAATTCTTACAGTGTTCGCTTCACCCTGAAACATGATATATGAAATATGCATGAGATGGCAATAATGTGTTTTAGATTTAATTTAATATTTCATTCATTATTCCAACTTACATTTGCTCAACATATCATGAAAAAACAAATGAGCTTTAGAAATCATTTAATCAAAAAAGAATACATAACAATGTTGCTTTACATTATTACAATAAGCCAGAAATCACTTTAGCATAGAAATTGAAAACGAGTTGTTTGCGTGTTGGTTCTTGTTCTTCTATCACTGCAAGAACAATCAAAACTTAAGTGCACAGCAATGGTGGGAGGAATAATGAAATTATTTGTACTCTTAAAGGTGTGGTTAAAGTTAGAGTATGTGTTAATTCCTTATTAAGTTCTCAGCCAGCAACATAGCTGTGTTATAAAGCTGTGCCAGTAACTGAGGCAAATAAAGAATACAAAAAGATAAGTGAGTGGCAAGATGTGAAAAACAAGTGAAACGCCATTCTGAAAACAAGATGAGAATATCGATGTCTTTCTCATGTCTGTTCATCAAAGGAATAGTTAGACTTTAGGAAAAGTGCTTTGTTGCTTTCTTGAGAAAAGTTAAATGACAAGATGGAGAGCACTGTTGGATGGCTATCTTTGTGTTGTCCATGCTGTTCTGGTAAAAAAAACTACACATCTGTTTTAGCGCTTCCTCATTGGAGTTACATCTCAAACAACGCCTCCTCTCACCTTTGTGCTTTGCTTGCTGTTCAAGGCAGGCAAGGCAAGGCAAGGCAAGGCAAGGCAAGGCAAGGCAAGGCAAGGCAAGGCAAGGCAAGGCAAGGCAAGGCAAGGCAAGGCAAGGCAAGGCAAGGCAAGGCAAGGCAAGGCAAGGCAAGGCAAGGCAAGGCAAGGCAAGGCAAGGCAAGGCAAGCAAGGCAAGGCAAGGCAAGGCAAGCAAGGCAAGGCAAGGCAAGGCAAGGCAAGGCAAGGCAAGGCAAGGCAAGGCAAGGCAAGGCAAGGCAAGGCAAGGCAAGGCAAGGCAAGGCAAGGCAAGGCAAGGCAAGGCAAGGCAAGGCAAGGCAAGGCAAGGCAAGGCAAGGCAAGGAAAGGAAAGGAAAGGAAAGGCAAGTTTATTTATATAGCACCTTTCAACACAATGCAATTCAAAGTGCTTTACAAAAAATGAAAGACATTAAGAAAATGGCATTTAAAATCAGTCATTAAAAAGATAAGATAATAAACATTAAAAGTTACAGTGCAGTTTAAGATGTGAATAGTTCAATTAAAAGCAGCGGCAAAAAGAAAAGTCTTCAGCCTGGATTTAAAAGTAGTCAGAGTTGCAGCGGACCTGCAGGTTTCTGTAAATATTAAACCTTCAGGCAAAGTGCATTTAAAGTTCATAAAAGTATAAACTTGTTGTATTGCTGCCTAAGCTTGTTGTGGAAAGAGAGCTTCAGGGCTTTGATGTAGTTTGTAAATCACTTTTAGTGTGTCCCTTTTTTCCCAGTATGTGTACCTGCTGCTATCCATTGATATGGGAACCTAGTCCTGACTAACACTCCTAGTGAGCTGCCAAGCCCAACCTTTTAGTGTGAGCTGAGCAGGTTTATACCCAGGACAAACTCCAATCAATGAGGTGATTTGTTAAAAAAGGCGGAAGCTTGCTAAGGGCTGCTTAAAGTTAAACTCAATGTTTGTTGTAGAGAAAACGCTTTAGTTGGGATGGAATACAAATTTCAGGGAGAAACCAGTTGAGACAAGATGTACGTGTAAACAGAATTGCACTTCTAAATGAATTACATTCCTCTCACACTCAATGCTGTTAAAGCTACAAGAAAGCAATTAAAACTGTATTGTATAAAACATGAACATGCTCATTCCTCTGAGAACTTTAAAAGACGTGGAATAATTTACTGAGCAAATCACACAAAGTTATATTTTACTTTGTTCTCTTTCTTTGTTTACTTCATATGTCATGCAAGGGCACAACAAAGTTACAGTCTAGTTCTTTTTATTTCAAGAGCAGTTGAAATTCAAATCCAGCTCTCTAACAATATGCACTGTAAGTGAAAACCTTTGAGCTTCCGGGCTTGCTGTTATCTCTATCAGTATGCTGCCTCTTTGCCAAAAGCCAGGCACTGCCTGGTGCAGTCTGTTTTCTCCACCTGCCTTTCAAGATAATAACTTTAGCGTGGACCCAGAAATGTATTTTGCCTTCTTTAAACATAGCGGTAATCTCTGACTCTTGCTGTTATTGAATTAGGGTGTAGGTGCATGCGGGATGGAGGGATGAGGGTGGGGTTAGATAAGGCTCGTAGCCTCTAACAGCACAGAGAGATGCGGGGTGCGGTGGCAGGACAGATCAGACAATGCAGTGGAAAAAGTAGAGTCAAATTAACCTCAGGGAGACCTTAAGAGGACATTTTGGTGGAGGTGCAAAGTGGAAGCAGACGGAGGAGAGGATGGGCGGCAGTGGGGGAAATCTTCACCTCTCTGAGGAGAAGGAGCCTATGGAGAATGCTGTTTATTCTATTTTCTACCACAACAAGCCTGGAGGCTATTTTACTGATTTGGCTCTAGTGCTATATGCAATGGCCAGGTAGCAGATTTCCTATCAAGCATACTAAGACTGGAAGAGTATCATTCCCATTATCCTCCATACATGATGAAACAAATTAGGTTTTTTTTATCTTCTCTTGTAGTTTCTAACATGTTTTATTTCGCCTCCTCCAGCTGCTTCCAATTCTGTCTTTTTGTATCCCACCTTTCGATGAATATCCCTAGCATAAGATCAGGTGAAGGGGCCTGGAATTGATTGCTGACATTTTGACTGAATACATATTTACAAGCCTATGTTTTTAGGAGCAGGATGTAGATAGTATCTGAATGAGCCTTTTTCTCCCCCCTGGTATCATGTAAACTAAACATCCCCGGTGCTTGCAGCTGACAGAAATATCACTGAATAAGTCATGGTCAGGGATATAAATATTCCCAGGTAAGGTAAACTAAATCAAAACAGCCTTACAGAGAGCAATTCTGAAAGGGCTTTTCTGTATGTGTTTGACCTTCAAGTATGCAGTGAGAAGACAAATCTCAAGTATTTATTTAAACTCAACATTTCCCTGATAATTCAGTTATTTTTCTCTGCTCTCATTTCCATTCGATTCTTTTCCTTTCCTCCAGAGAAGGCAGTCAAGACACATTTCACGCTATGTATTGATTCCAGTAATAACTTCATGTCCAAACTTTGTGAGAAATCCTAGTTGGTGATTCCATTGATCTAAACACAGAAGTGTTGAATTTGAGATGGGCCGACGGAGTTTGTGGATTCAGAGGGAAGTGAGGATTTTTCAGAGCTCTCTTTCAAACAAAACCTGACAGAATGTTTTTCTGGGATGCACAGTGATCCTACCACGGGAACTTTGCCTTTATAACATTGCCTGCTTCGAATAAATAAGATGTTTCTTGTTTTGGTTTTGTACCGAGATAAAACACTTCCAGGGACTAGTTGTAATAGAGATAAGAAGTGTAAAGAAAGTACATGATGGCGAAGGCTACCTCTTTCCAAGAAACATATATAGAGTGACTCTTATGACCCTTATACTTCTTTAAATAAATCTTTTTGAACTGGTATACTGTGTTATTCAACAATGCAGATTTGATCAGACAGTGTATTTTTTAGCAGAGCTGAATACAAATTGAGTGAATGTGGGTTTTTGTTCGGCTTTAGAGGTTCTGTGAAAGCAGTCACCTTGAAGCTTCAGAAAGCTTTAACATTTGTTTGTGTTTTATTTATGTTGCTTCTCGCTTTCTCCTGTCCATTCCTTTGAGTATAAACAATTGGGATTACACTGAGGGAATGAGGGCGTCTATCCCACAAGTAAATGAAGATGATATTCAAACATGCAAAACAACTATTAAAATATTTAGTTTGAGTTTTTCCAATTCTAACCACAGATTGTAAGGTTACAAAAGAGTAGTAAACCAGACTAAAGTATTCTGAAATAACGTTTTAGTCAACAAAAAATGAATGCTTTCACGTGTAAAATATAACATACATTTCAACACATGCAGAGACAACATAATTTGCCTGAAAAACTAGAACTGTAAAAGTTTCAGAAACCAACATATGAATGAATGAATAAGGGGTTATAAATATATGTTGTTAAATTGAAGAATCCCTTGTTCCTTCTGTAATAATGGTGTTTTTGTATCCATTAATCACCAAATGTTTACCCTATATAATTATATTTCTTTATGAAACTGTAAGCACTCATCTTCATACATTATTTATCAGTTCATCACTTCCCAAATCCACAATGTTTAAATACAACCTGATTTTTCTGTGTCTTCGTGTCTCCTAGCTGCGAGCCCATGCTGTGGACATGAATGGGAACCAGGTGGAGAACCCCATTGATCTGTACATCTTCGTCATCGACATGAATGACAACAGACCCGAGTTCAAAAACCAGGTCTACAATGGCTCTGTGGATGAAGGCTCTAAACCAGGTAATGAAGCAGGGATGGATAGGTAGATTAAACAATGAGTAAAATATGTAAGGCAAGGCAAGGCAAGTTTATTTATATAGCACTTTTCAACACAAGGCAATTCAAAGTGCTTTACAAAAAATGAAAGACATTAAGAAAATGGCATTTAAAATCAGTCATTAAAAAGAAAAGCTAATAATATAAACATTAAAAGAAAAAATACATGGATAAAAGTTACAGTGCAGTCTAAGATATGAATAGTTCAATTAAAAGCAGCGACACAGAGAAAAGTCTTCAGCCTGGATTTAAAAGTAGTGAGAGTTGCAGCGGACCTGCAGGTTTCTGGGAGTTTGTTCCAGATATTTGGAGCATAATAACTGAACGCTGCTTTACCATGTTTAGTTCTGACTCTGGGACAGAAAGCTGACCAGTCCATGAAGACCTGAGAGATCTGGATGGTTCATAATTTAGCAGGAGGTCAGAAATGTATTTTGGGCCTAAACCATTCAGTGCTTTATAAACCAGCAGCAGTATTTTGAAATCTATTCTTTGACACACAGGAGTGATGTGATCCACTTTCTTAGTGTTAGTGAGGACTCGAGCAGCGGCGTTCTGAATCAGCTGCAGCTTCCTAATAGATTTTTTAGTGAGACCTGTGAAGACACCATTGCAGTAGTCGAGTCTACTGAAGATAAAAGCATGGACAAGTTTTTCCAAATCCTGCTGTGACATTAGTCTTTTAATCCTAGATATATTCTTTAGGTGATAGTAGGCTGATTTAGTAACTGTTTTTAATGTGACTGTTGAAACTCAGGTCAGAGTCCATGACTACACCTAGATTTCTGGCTTTATCTGTTGTTTTGAACATTGCAGACTGAAGCTCAGCGCTAACTTTTATACGTTCTGACTTGGCTCCAAAAACCATTACCTCAGTTTTATCTTTGTTTAATTGGAGAAAGTTCTGACACATCCAGTCATTGATTTGTTCAATGCACTTACTCAGTGTTTGAATTGGAGCATAGTCTCCTGGTGAAATTGTTACGTAAATTTGTGTGTCATCTGCATAGCTATGGTAACTTATTTTGTTGTTCTTCATTATCTGAGCCAGTGGTAGCATGTAGATGTTAAAGAGAAGAGGCCCCAAGATGGAGCCTTGAGGAACCCCACATGTCATATTTGTCAACTCAGATGTGTATTTACCTATAGAAACAAAGTTGTTTCTGTCCTTTAAGTAGGATTCAAACCAATTTAGAACTGTTTCCGAAAGTCCCACCCAGTTTTCCAGTCGGTCTAGTAATATGCTGTGGTCAACAGTGTCAAACGCAGCACTGAGATCTAATAATACTAACACTGAAGTTCTGCCACTGTCTGTGTTTAAGTGGATGTCATTAAAGACCTTTACAAGAGCAGTCTCAGTGCTGTGGTTTGGACGAAAGCCTGACTGGAACACATCAAAACAGTTATTTAAATGCAAGAAATTACTCAACTGTTGAAAAACAACTTTTTCAATGATTTTACCTAGAAATGGGAGGTTTGATATGGGCCTGTAATTGTTCATTACTGAAGCATCTAGATTATTCCTTTTTAAGAGCGGTTTAATGACTGCAGTTTTCAGGGCCTGTGGAAAAATACCTGAGTGAAGAGATTTGTTTACTATATGAAGTAGATCTGAGGCCATGCAAGGCAAAACATCTTTAAAAATCCTGTTGGAATAATATCAAGGCAGCAGGAGGAGGATTTCAGAAGTTGTATAATGTCCTCTAGGTTTTTATCATTAATCTGATGGAATTGTGTCATGATGTCTGAATTGATGTTAAGTGGACACAGAGACAACACATTTGCTGTTCCTGATGCAGAGGCACTGACTGCTTGTCTGATTTTCTGAATTTTGTCAGTGAAGAAGGCAAAATCATTGCACGCCCTGGTGGAAATTCAGAGGCTACTGACACTGGGGGGTTAGTTAGTCTGTCGACGGTAGCAAACAAGGCACGTGCGTTGTTTTTGTTTTTGGTAATGATGTCGGAGAAGAACGATTGTCGTGCGTTTTCAATTCCAAATTATAAAGGCCAAGTCTCTCTTTATAGATTTCAAAGTGAACCTGGAGATTTGTTTTTCGCCACCTGCGTTCAGCTTTTTGACATTCTCTTTTTTCTGTTTTCATGCTCATGGCCTTTCTCCATGGAGATATTTTCTTGACAGACACTTCCTTTAACCTAGTTGGAGCAATGGCATCTATAACATTTTTAATTGTTTAATTAAAATGATCTACTAGCTCATTTCCTGAGATGTTAGCAGGGGCAAGTGTGGAAGAAAAATTCTGAGTAAACATTTCCCTTGTATTTTCAGTTAAATATCGCTTTGTGGTTACCTCTTTTTGAACATTTTTGTGAACAGAAATAGAGCTCTCAAAGAAAACACAGGAATGGTCAGAGAGTGCAACATCAGTCACCACAACCTTAGAGATATTCAGACCCTTTGAGATAATTAAGTCCAGAGTGTAGCAGGACCAATCAAAGAAGTTAAGTGTTTATTAGAAAAGATTAAAGAAATGTGTGGAGGGTGACGTGTTTGGATACAGGTTGACTTAGGATGAGTATATCTGGAGAGATTGGTGCAGTTAAAAGAATGACTGCACCAGTGAATCTTTGACCCAATAGAGAATTGTCCAAACACCTTGATTTAGCAGACGCCGGTGAATCTTTCTCCCACAGTGGCTTTTCACTGAGCCTTCTGCAGCAGCGGCCATAAACCAAAGAGGGTGCTCAGGCTGGAGAGGAGATTGAGGATTAAATATACCACGCTGTAGCACCACTGGGTCATTTTATGTCTAACCTCAGAGCGGAAGAATCCCAGAGACGAGCTCTCAGTGTGCATGCGTGTGTGTGAGCCTGATGAGCCAGAGTTTATTGCGCCATAGGTGATCTCAAGAGGTGTCCAGGTTCTCATTTCCTTTTTCTTTGTCTTTCTTTCTTTTATCGCTGCTGCTGTTCCCTCCCTCTCAGCCTCGCCCCTCCCAGCAAACAAGTCTCTGTGGCATGCATGACATTCAGCTGAACAATAATCATAAAAAAAGTAGAGTTTAGAGCTCCAGTGGTTTCAATGCAAGGCCAATTACAGACTTGAATTAGTTTGCAAATTAAAGAGTCATTATGGGGACCTAATCCTGTCAGGCAAAGCTTAGGACGCCCGTACAAAGGGTCCACATTAAACCACCTAAGAGTGCAGCTTAATCAAATTACCCCAGCGATGTGTGACGCATTGTGATTCTTCATCTCTTCCTCTCTATCCCTCCATTTTAAGAAAGAAAAACAAAGGGTGGAGGGCTGGAGTCACTCCTTTTGGAATCAAAACAAATATGGAGTCTGTCCTCTCTTCCTCTCTTCCCCTCTCCCTCTGTTCCTGCTGGCTTTTTTTTCCTCGTCTCGCTGAGAGGCCTTTAGAGTGCTCCCTATGGCCGAGTCATTGACAAATGTTGCTTTGAAATGTAATGAAGTTTGAAATGGGAGCTGCGGTTACAATTATCCTCGGACAGGGGCTGTCACTGGCATGATATCACTATCTCTGGCAATTAGAATGGGCTGCGAGAGAGTGGGAGAGATGGCGAGATTGGGTGACAGGCTGAGATCCCACAGAGTTATGAGTGTGTGGAGGCAGCAAACAAGTGGTGCATTCATGGACGGATAGTGGCTCGTTCTTTCCGCTGACACAGAATACTATACGCCTGTGCTTACCTGTGCTTGTAATCAGAGTGAATCATATATATGGGGCAGGTTTACAACTAATCAATGTAAGCAAGTGTTTACTATTAATGTTATGCAAATAGTAACGGAGTAATGTGAATAGTAATATCTGTCATCAAAATGTACTTTGAGCTTGGACAAGAACCTTCCATTTTTCAGTCAGTAAAGATGAAATGGTTCACCATTTGCAGCCTTTTCATTGTATCCCTTCAATGCAAAATATGATATATAATGCTGTAAAATGTGGTCATAATTATAAATGTGCGCATTATATATTTGTGCTTGTAGTTGTTGAGTCTTTATTATTCATTGAACAGGTGTGCAACATTTCTCTGCTGACATAAATCTGTGAAGATGCTTTCACATTATAAGTGTTATTAAAGTGTTATGGGTCATCCAGGTGGTTTACTCGCCATGTTTATGTACTTGTGAACCAATATGTGTGTGATCGTTACCAATACTGTATAACTGTCATAACATCTGTTTGTTGGATGGTTGATTAAACTGTACTGAGTGCAGAACCCTTTTTTATACAATTAAAGCACAAAATGTTTTGTTAAAATAAATATATTTGTATCAAAATTAAACAAAAGAAATCTGAACAGAAGCCACTATGGCAACTAGAGACTATCAGTTGCTTATTTTTCTTTTGTGTATAAGAACATGTTTATCCGTGACATTTAAAAACTGTAACCTGAACAGGAGAGAAGAGATACATCTAGAAGTCAGCAAACTGATTTAGTAAAGTCAGGCACACAACAATAATAATAATAATAATAATAATAGATTTAATTTGTTAGCGCTTTTACAGGTGCTCAAAGACGCTTTACAGATATAGTGAAGGGAAAAGGAAGGAACAACAAATAAATATATAGTTAAAGTTAAAGTCAATGTCTGAAGTCAGCTAACATTATACCCTAGTGTTCACACCAGACTAGGTAAGGTTACATCAGCAGAAAGCCTGAGTGTGTTCATTTGTTTTGCTCGCTGAATGGTTGGAAATGTATTCCATCCATCCATCTCCATCCATCTTCTCCGCTTATCCGTGGTCGGGTCGCGGGGGTAGCAGTTCCATCAGAGAGCCCCAAACGTTCTTTTCCCTGGCGACATCAACCAGCTCTGACTGGGGGATCCCAAGGCGCTCCCAGGTCAGCGAAGAGATATAATCCCTCCACCTGGTCCTAGGTCTACCCCTTGGTCTCTTCCCAGCTGGACGTGCCTGGAACACCTCCCTAGGGAGGCGCCCAGGTGGCATCCTTACTAGGTGAAAGGTGGAAATGTATTGACAAATATAATTATTTCTTCATCAGGGACGTATGTGATGCACGTGTCAGCGTTCGACGGTGACGACAACACCACGGCTAACGGAATGGTGCGCTATCGAATCCTGTCCCAGACGCCGCACAGCCCCATCCCCAACATGTTCACCATCAACAGTGAGACTGGAGATATCGTTACCGTGGCAGCCGGCCTCGATCGAGAGGTTGGTTTCCTTAATCTCACAATATTCTCAATTTATTTGTAATGTTTCACATGAATAAAATCTTGCAAAGCAGTCACCACATATACTGTAATGACAATTCAGCAGTGTGCACAGTCTGAATCATCTATAGCTGGCCAGATGATACTCCTTTATCTTTATTTATGGAGCACAGTTCCTAAAAGCATTGTTTACTTTGATGACACTCTGAGATGCAACTTTAAAATGTTGACTAGCCACACACGCAGTCTTTTATTTTATTTATTTTGTTACAGTAAATTGCCTTCTTCTGCAGTCACCTTGTTTATGGAGCTATAAAAGTTGTGACAAGATCCAAATGTGTTTATTCTTATGACATGGATGTGCCAGTGACAACTCTGCAAAGAAATCTCCGAGACAATCATCCTCCCAAACTGTCACCGGTGACAGACCTATTAACAACACATCACGCTGCAGTGGCTGCTCACGTTGTTGTGTGTGTGTGTGTGTGTGTGTGTGTGTGTGGTGTGTGTGTGTGTGTGTGTGTGTGTGTGTGTGTGTGTGTGTGTGTGTGTGTGTGTGTGTGTGTGTGTGTGTGTGTGTGTGTGTGTGTGTGTGTGTGTGTGTGTGTGTGTGTGTGTGTGTGTGTGTGTATGTCTTTGTGTAGTAAAGATAAAGTGGAAATATCTGAGATAGAATGCCCTTGACACCTGTCAGACAAACACAAAGGCCCATATAATCACATCTACACTCGATAAAACACAGGCAATTGAGGGGGTGGGGGGAGAAAACTGTAGGGAGCAGTGGAACAAAAACGGAGTTGGGCAGACGGGGTATTACAATGAGTTGGGAGGATGTCAGTGTGAATTTGGCAATGAAATAGGGTGATACAGAGAAGCAGGATGAGACACGAGGGTGCCAGAGGGAGGGAGAGGTACGAGCGGAACATGGAGTAAAAATGTCTCAGCTGCTTATTTTTACTCAGTTTTTTCCCAGAAATGCTAATCCAGCCAGTCACCCCTAATGTGGGATTAAACACCTACCCCCACCACACACATACACACACACACACACACACACACACTCAATCACACATGTTTATATAACTATACTTTTGAAGACCTGTAAAGACATAAATCATCACAAGCCCTTAACTTTTATTAACCTCCCCAAGGTAGTATCACACACCCACACACATTCACACCTGGTAACTGCCCAGTTCAACTTCAGTGTTGTATGTTGGCCACTGAGCGGCTCCAATGGAGACAATTTGGGCAAAGGGCCTGCTCAGAGACCCCTCACTAGTTATAATAAGGGAGGGGCAATCACTGTCCTTTCACTTATACCAACATCATTATCTATATTCTTGATATTTTTGTATTCTTGGAGAAATGTATTTGACTGTCGTTTTAAAACAATTAGTTGAGACATTTTTGAGAAAAGCATGCAAGGAATATCTGCATTTCTCAAAAATTTGAATGGGGACCCACAAAGTCAGACATACAATCACACACACACACACACACACACACACACACACACACACACAACATACCATATGTGCACAGACAAACACAGGTACATGCATCAGATTCTCTACATTTGGTGTTCTCCCACATACATTTGTACATACAATTAATGAATACATTTGTGGTGCACACTTAAATACCAGTTATGTAGCATAAAAATACTTGTACTGGTTTTCCTGCAACATTATTAGAGGAGATAAGAAGTCTCCAACCTTGCAGATAAAAATGTATGTACTCTTATGTATTGTACAAATATGCTACACTGCAGTGCTTCCTTGGTCTTCTTTTAGTCAGCACTTTGGCCCTTTAAAACTTTGAAAGTTTCTGCATCTCCCTTCTTTTCTTGGGCTAGGGTGTTTGAGGTGTTAGGTGCATCAAAAAAAGAAAACACAGGCAGCTATTTTTGGTCGTCCCTCTCCCTTGTGCCTTGGCTGCATCCCCTGCTGTCTCTGATCTCCTCCTCTGTTCTTCACTTTTGAAATGTTTGCTTCCTTCCCTTTATAAGCTCCCACACTGTATCTCTTCTATAGGTTTCCCCTGGTCTGCAGTGGACTTTTAAGATCTTGTTGACAGTAACAGACCTCAGTCCTCCAGGGGAAGCTGGGTATGCTGCGGTGTTGTTGCAATGCTGAGAGGTTCAGAGGAGCTCTACATAATTACTCCCATGTCTAATTAGTGAGAGTGTTGTGTACACGCTGTACACTGGCTGATGGGACAGCCAGCCAAGCACTGCCTCTGAACAATATAGGGAGGAAGAGAGGTGTGTGTGTGTGTGTGTGTGTGTGTGTGTGTGTGTGTGTGTGTGTGTGTGTGTGTGTGTGTGTGTGTGTGTGGTGTGTGTGTGTGTGTGTGTGTGTGTGGTGTGTGTGTGTGTGTGTGTGTGTGTGTGTGTGTGGGTGGGTGGGTGGGTGTGTGTGTTAATGAGAGTGTGTATACAAGGTTGGAGTTCAGCATCTCATCTAGCATCAAGATGAGAGGAACTGAGAGGAGTTGTCTAATCCTCCTGATGTGGTGTCCTGGCCTAATTGGGATATTTACTCGGTAATTAGCAGGTGAGAGAGGCACTGAGATTGTAATTGGGAATCTCAGTGACGAGACACGTTACCCAGACAGTCTGCTCCCAGACTCCATCCTTCCTGCAGCCCATTAACTGCACCGTGGGACAGAGGAAGAGAGCGGATACTGGAATAGAGAGGCAGCTCAACCTAGTACTCGAATAGAAATAAGAGAACCATTTTTCAGCTTGCAGTGAAGTGTCATTTCAAAAGATGAAATGGCATTTATCATTCCCTTGTATTATTGCTCTATAGATAGTCTATTAATCTCTGTCAGTTGGATCATTGTCTTCACATCTGTCCATCAGTGGCACTGGATAAGAAACGTCTTTGATGACATACCCATGGGGAGGCTCCACAGTGCAGCCTTCAGATGGTGTGAAGTCTGCATACGTTCCGCTGTGGAGGTTTTAACGCAGTCGAATGGAAGACATCACCACTGTGATTCTGTGTTTCAAATAAGAGCATGGACCGCTACTATAGAACAGAACAGAAGCACAGCTTATTCTCCCTCAGGGATTCACACTCTGTGGTTGTTGCTGTAGACTCGATGAAGAGAAAGTTTCTTTTTTTCACATGAATAACTGCATTTTGTCTCTGTTACAGAAAGTGTCCCAGTATACCATCATCGTACAAGCCACGGACATGGAGGGAAATCTAAACTTCGGCCTCTCCAACACGGCCACTGCCATCATCACTGTCACCGACATCAACGACAACCCTCCCATGCTGACCTCAAGAACTGTGAGTTTCTACTGTGGTGCAACTCGAATAAGAATTTGGTGTGGGTTAAGAGAAGAGAATGACTGTTCAAAATATATATTTAAGGCTAGTGAGTGACATGCATTGAAGAAAAAGAGAGGACAAAAAGAAGAGGGATATAATGAAAGGAAGAAAAAGGAAATGACTACACCACTGGCCAGGAGGAGGATTGTGAAGTGCAAAGGGTACTTATCTCATTTCCTCGTAGAGGATGCAAACTAACACACAAGGAAAACTAATCCATATATTGACTTTCATCAGCAAGAAAATTAGACCCAGCAAATCGTTAAAGGTTGTTGATGCGATGCTGATATTTAAAACAATGATTACATTACAGGAGATCATTATTGAGAGCAGAGTCAAATTAAAAGTCCAAAGTAATGTACAATATGGTAAAATGCAGCTACATCATCAATACTTTAACAAGTGAAGCAGGAGATGTAGTTGTTTTTAAAAAGTTGACTTTGTATGCAGTATCTTATTTTAATTCTGGTCATTTCTCTCAGAGATGATACATGTTTAGATGTGCATGTGAAACAGCCAAGGTGGCAGCAGTATTACTCAAATATGTTTGCAATTATTTCCATGTTCTTAATTAAATACAATGAGGAATATTTTGTATTTCATGTGGCAGAGACATGCATTTGTTAAGCAATGTGGTCAACAGTGGAGTCAGCGTGTCTGCATTTAAGTTCCAAGTTATGATGAAACATTCTTCTAGGTGTCAGTTTGGCTTAAGGGGTCAGAATTATTCAGAGTGTGTGCTTTGCTATCAGTAGTGATGAGAGCATGGGGATGTTGGGTTGATAAGGTGCTTAGCTCTGCATCTGCTGAGGGGGTATCAGCACTACAGTCGTCTCTGCTCTTTGAGGTGGTAGCAGAGGAGTTAGCATTAGCATTTGCCCTGGGGGCTATCAAAACCTCTCTGCACTGTCAACCGTGTAGCTCATCAGAGAGCTGCTACATCACACACAGCATGACATGTACAGAGAGAGGACAGAGGAAGACTCACAAAGGAAATGGTTAGCTAAAAGAGAACAAAGAGGGACAACGAGTTGATGAGCCGACCACCATGTAGACGCTGACGAAAAATGAAGAGAGGAAAAAGTGATGAGAGAATGATGGGCAGAGGAGGAAGAGTGAAGGATAATTTGGTCACAGGAGCTATTTTCTACTAAGAAAGTGATAAAGCAGAGACATGCCCTGTTGTAAATCAAAGGCCTTTCCTGACTGGGCATCCCTCTCTGATTTAACATTCTCTACTGATGACTGCTTATTGATGATAGTGGCTAGTAATAGATTGATATTCTCTAACTGTATTCCACCATGTTTAAGTGCATTTCCATCATCGCCACAGAGGGAAGTTAATACTATCATGGATATTGATGATAAACTTTAGTGGAGGTCTGGAGCAGTGATGAGAAGAGCACTTTTACCCATTCCCTCCATAAATCACACATTTTAGTGGTGGGATAATATAAAAGCCATTTTGTTGAGAATGCAAGCCATTATGCAAATATTTAGTGTTTGCAATAAACCCCATAGATCTTCCAACGTGTCCCAGAAATACAAAGTTTGGGGAATTTGTCTTTAATGTTGATGATTAATATTTCATCATGCCTATCAGAGGCTGCCCTATTTTTCAAGGCGGCAAAGGGTGGTGTATGTGTACGGATGGGAAGCTTATTCTGGGCTGCATACATGCTTTGCATTATGCCTGTGATGCTGATTGATGCGATGATTTGAGAAAATATATATTTATCTATTTTGTTTATTTATTCAAACAGCACTGTGACGACTGTGTCCCACATCGTATCGGGAGGTTTTGTAGTTGTGTACATCAGGGTGTCTCTGTGCTGGATGTACTGCAGTGCTTTCCTTGGCCTCCTTCCTTTACCATCCTCACAAAGTTCCTATGATGAAGTCCCCTGTCACTTCTCCTTTCTCTCCCCTTCCCTCCCCCTTTAGTCTTTCCCCACTGCCAAAATAGTGACAGACGGGTGAGAGTGTTGGCAAGAGGTATTTTGTCAAGTGCTGTTAGAAAGCCAAGTGTTCCGTGCCAATCACAATCAAAGAGCTTTCAACTCCTTCCTGTGGTCCAGCTGTTGGGGACAAGATACATTATCATATACAAAAGACATACCTGATAAGAGGAAATCTAGTGTGAAAAACACTTTGACCATATCACATCTCCCTACAAATCTCACTACACGTATATACAGTCAAATGTAATTGTGAGCTAATACATGATGAAAAGAGTTTAAGATAGAGCCACACCTACACGAACAACTGTTTTCAATCGTTTTCAAGAGAGATAAGATTGCTCTCTGTTCAAAATCACAAATGCTGAATTAAAAACCTTTATTGACAACAACACAAACATAAGTCAGAGTTTTAAGGATAAAAGATGGAGTCATAAAGAAATAGAACAATCATTAAATTAATGAATGTAATGGAGAATTTGAAAAACCTGTTATGAAATGTATTTTCATTTTAATTTCTCATTTGAAAGCTAACTTTTAGGTGCACCCTAATGACACAGTAGATATATGAAATTGTGTCCTTGAGAATGTTTACATCAACTGCATTTCACATCCTTTTAATTTGTTCTGGTATGTGGGAAAGGAAGTAATTCACAGATTTATGTTGAGTGTTTGGAGGGCGCTTGACTTCGCATGCCTCCTAAAGTTGGTATTTACACACTCTTGTAAGTTTTACCATTGAAAGTGAACTACCTGAAATTAATTTGCTATGTGATTGTACTGATAATATAATTTTATGTTTGGGAGATAAAGAAAAACTGCCATGCCACACACACAAGATTTCCTAAGGGAAAAATAAGTAATACTTTTATTACTCTAGCTGTAAATGCCTGAGAGGAGCACCACCCACCCCATAAAGAGATAATGAGGGAAGAAATCTTGAACTGGGGTATTGATGTTAACAGCTGTGGTGGACTCTTTAAACCCTTCCATCAGATCTGGTTAACTCTCGTCCTCACTTGTTACTGTGCGCTGAGAAACAAGATGCTCAAGGGCCCTTAGGAGCTCAAGAGCCATCTCTGAAGTTGTATTTTATTGAATTGGCATCGGGGAGTCCCTGAACCAAACCACGGTAATAAACCTCTCAAACACACACATGAACACACACTCACTGTGACACGTACATACGACAGCATGCCTACTTATACATTTCAGTCAGTGCATCACGACCACCCGGACATGTCTGTTGTCTTAAGAATGTCATTGAGTCTCTGAACAGCTCTCCTGACGCAGCGCCCTAATCTGCCCGCTGCTGTTGGCTGTTTGCTGGGTGATGCAAGGGTTGCCAGGCAGGGTATTATGGTCTGTTTGAGTGTTTGGTCTGGGGCTTTGCTCTTTGATATCCTACACTCACATAAGCTGCTCAGCGGCTCTTCCACGCCTGTTACCCATGGTTACACGGCAACTGTATGATGCTCCACACCTGTTGCCTTCAGATGAAGTGAACAACGCGTCAACATGCTCACCTTCGGACCACACGTAATTGCTCAAGAGTTGATGGGTTGTCCGTGTAGGTGTGGCTGCGGTTGAGTTGTGTTTTTACAGCGTAACGGTGCATTCTTTGCTGTTGTTTGTTCTTCTTTGGGGGCTTTATCCCCTGAGCCTGTACAGCTTTGATCAATCCCCACCATAACAGACATATGACAGACAGCGGCTCACTCCTCATCAGGCTTATCAGGAAAAAGCACATGTGTTTGTACAGCGGAGAAACAACTAAAAGCCACTCATATACACTCAAACAGATGTTTAATCCTCCCCACTGCTGGTTTCTTTCTGTTCATCTATTCTCTCCTTCTTCACTCTGGCTCCCAAAGAATGAAATATTATTTTGTGTCAAGGATGGGCACTGGGAATGCAGAAAACACTGAAACTGGAACAACGCCCCTGTGTGCATGTGATTGCTGGTGTGAAACTGTGTTTACGGCCTGTTTACTACTCAGCTGTGGTAAAGCGTGGTCATTAAACTTACTCTACCTGAAAACCCTAAAAGAAGGACTGTAAAGGGAAAATGTTAATGAAAAGTAAGCACTTTTGTATAAATTGCTACACTCAAATGGCTCAACGGATCCCATAAGACCTGACCTACAGTCACAATAAAAATATTTGAAAGCATCAGAAAACAGTGTATTTACTCTACTTTCTGCAGTTTTCCGGTGAGGTCCCGGAGAACCGAGTGGATCTTGTGGTGGCTAATCTGACGGTGATAGATGCCGACCAACCGCACTCTCCGAACTGGAACGCCATCTACAGGATCATCAGTGGAGATCCAAACGGGCACTTCACCATCCGCACGGACCCCGTCAGCAACGACGGCATGGTCACCGTGGTGAAGGTAAGTCATCACAACATGCTCATCTCAGAAACTTTTGTTGTCTCTTTGTCTCTGCTGACTTTTAGATCACCTTAAATCAAAGGCAACAATAATAGTCTTCAGAGTAGGAGTCTTTTCCCTTTCATACAGTATGGCCCCTTATGTCCATATGAGGTATTATATGCTCCTGTGCCCTTCATGCACCCACACACAGACTTGAAACACAATGGCTAGCCAGGCCACTGTAGCAAATTAGGTATTGATTTCTCAATTACAAGGCAACGGTTTAATACACTCATAATGTTCTAGCTGCTGTGGTAAATGACAGCGACAACGAAACCATGTCTTATAACAATTTGCTGCTCAACCTCTCAGACGGAGGTTGTCTGGAGAGTTTTAACCCGTTTGTATAAAGACATAGGAAATAAGCAACAGCATGAAAATCTGTATGATATTCAGCTGGTATTCTGTGTTTAGATGCACAGTACGCCCTGTTGAATGTCCCTACACATTGGTATTCCTCTGTTCAACCATTTGCTATTAATGTGTTTCTCATGTTGCTTGTGTTTGTAGAAATACTTTTTATTTTGTATGCGCATGACCCGGGGGTATTCTCTCTGTGCATCTGACTCCTGCAAATCACATCTCACAGCCTTCAATAATGTTTATAAACTAGCAATAACATCACCCTTGTAATTCCCACAGCACCGTGAGCAATGAGCATTGGCATTTTGCTTCTCTTCATTATCTCTAGATGACTGCCTTTTATAATCCATTCCTCTCACTCCCTGATGTTAAATTCAGCAGGCAGCCGGGTAGCCGTGAGCTTCCATCGACACCCATGGGAGGTTATCAGGAAATCATAAAATAAGAGACAGGACACCCCCTGGGAAAAAATAGACTGTCTTAACAAGTAAACAAGGGCTTTGGCTTGCTCCGGGAAAAGGGAGCCGATGGTTCACATCAGACTCAATATCGGTAAAGTCAAGAAGCCGTAAGAAGGCGCTACCTCTGTGTTCCCATTTCTCTAAGCCATCTGCGGCTGCTAGTACGGACGCATCGTATCACTGACACCTAGGTATGTGGCAATCTCCCACGAGGCTTGTCTGTAAACAAGGGCTGAGGTCTTAACCATAACATGTCACACATTTATACTGCTCTCTGGGGATATTATGAGACGCATTCTAATTTTCCCGCACGGTAATAGAGCCACTAGACAAACAAGCATGCAAAATAATACACAAACAGAGCTGCTTGGTTCGAATGAGTCATTAAGATATGTAAATTGCAGCTTATGATAAACACGAGGGATGACGGGGAAGTGGAGAGGAGGAGAGAAGTGAGGCAAAGACAGATTTTGGAAGATTGAAAGATGCAGAGAGCAAAGATCACAGAGGGTGTGAGGGGGGCAGAGGTGAGCAGACGAGGGGCTGGGCAGTTGGAGTCCAGCGAAACAAATTAAGTAAGGGAAAGACAGGAGCGAGCGAAGCGATACAGAGGAGATGTAAGATGTGACGGCTCATGGGCAAAAGATGGAAGCCATGTTATTGACCTCTCACCCTCCTAGCTTCCCTCAGGGTGTGTGTGTATGTGTGTTTTAGTTAGCCTACAGCTACACTATAGACCACCCTGTGCTATGAATACCACTGGTTGTAGATCAAAGATCCTTGAACGTGCTGTGCCTGTAAAAAGGTTCCAAGTGCACCAAAGGTGTAACACAGATACACACCTTTGAGCTTCCATTTACTTGTATATCCTTGCATATACATACATAGTGTAATCAAACTAGCACACACACACATCCACTCCAGTGCCCTTGTCAACGAAGCTGTCTGATTAAGAATGTATTTTTATATCTGAGCTGTGCTGCCAACCTGTCCGCTGATAACACTCAGGCAACGCAACATACAGATGTGCTCAATATCATTAACATCACCATCAAACACCACAGACACAAGCCTTGCAGCAGTAATCATCACCCGCCTATTTAAAATGGGCCAGCAGGACCTACAAGCTCTATATTTGTTCTCTTTTTTATTTCCTTGCTTGTTGTTGTTGTTGCCATTTGAACCTGATCGTGTTGTCTTCATTAGGAGAGCACGGAACTGTCACTCTGGTTTAGGCTCAGCCGGTAAAACCCCTGTAGAGTACACATATACACACTGTGTGACAGACACACACACACACACACACACACACACACACACACACACTCAAAAGGCAGTCATGACAGCACCCTATGAATAGACTAAGCCCTGCTGCCACTTCTCAGGATGTGTGTGTGTGTGTGTGTGTGTGTGTGTGTGTGTGTGTGTGTGTGTGTGTGTGTGTGTGTGTGTGTGTGTGTGTGTGTGGTGTGTGTGTGTGTGTGTGTGTGTGTGTGTGTGTGTGTGTGTGTGTGTGTGTGTGTGTGTGTGTGTGTGTGTGTGTGTGTGTGTGTGTGTGTGTGTGTGTGTGTGTGTGTGTGTGTGTGTGTGTGTGTGTGTGCGTGCGTGTGTGTGTGTGTGTGTGTGTGTGTTTTGGTGAGTAGTTTAGAGAGAATATGGGTCCAATATATCATGGCAACACTTGACACGGCATCTGCTCATTTATTATAATGTCCTTTATCATCGGCAAGGTGCAGCACATTTTCCCCAGCCACAAAAGAGAAATGTTGACAGGGGTTTTTACTTTATAATGAGCGTAATATATGCTGGAATACTTGACATCGTTTGCTCATAAAAAGTAATAATGGTAATGATACCTCTAATGTTATTCATATTCACAGACTGAGAAAGAGATTTTGAATCTATTTTCTTTACCTTTAAATCATTAATAACGACAATAGTTTTAAGTAAGAATGTATTTATTTTTAAATAATCAGAAATCCCTTCTTTTCTTTTCCCCATATATACAGGAACATGAATTGAGTGAACATGATAAATACAGAAAATAACAATATCAACACTGCAATAATTACCATATAGATGTAGTTTATATTTTCATTATCAGTTCACACAGAGGTGACATTTAACTTCAGTAATATTTTGTGAGGCTTTACATAGTGACAGGGGTCTACTTGATTGTATTGAAAGAAGAACTTCCTATCATATTTTGGCAGTCTTTTTTTTAAATATGTAAAATGTACTAGGTAAATTATAATAAGGAAGCACAAATGTACAAATTGTAGCATTCCATCATTATAATGTAGGAGTTCACAAGGTTTAATGTTATCCCCGTGCTGGAATTCATTATCTAAAAACTATCTTTGACTGTTTAGCATAAAAAACGGTTTTGTAATGTTTTAATTTATTGAAATCAGTTCAACGTTCTCTTCTCACACATTCTTCTTGTTACTTCCTTGCTGCAGCCAGTAGACTATGAGATGAACCGTGCCTTCATGCTGACGGTGGTGGTCTCCAACCAGGCCCACCTAGCCAGTGGCATCCAGTCGTCGCTCCAGTCCACAGCTGGGGTCACCATATCCGTGCAGGACGTCAACGAGCCCCCTTACTTCCCCAATAACCCCAAACACATCCGCTTTGAGGAGGGGGTCCCTGCTGGCACCAGCCTCACGACCTTCTCTGCCTCCGATCCCGACCGACTATCTATGCTGCAGACAATCAGGTACAGAGTGACTGCAATGCAATAACCCTTTACAATTGTAATCCTAATTGAGCTAATTCTGACATTTTAATTGCAGGCAATTAGCTTAAATGTCTTCCGGTGAAAAATAAGTTTGTTCTTTTACATATGGACAGTCCCTAGACCCAGAAAAGTAATTCCTGTGAACTCTGCTTAGCTGCATTATTAGTACAATCCTGGCAGAAATCCCAACATATGCGCTAACAGCAGGCTAAAAATAAGTTTGGATAGGTTCCAGGTCAGTAGCTAGGTGTCAAAGTTCAACTATGGGACTATATTTTGGCATCACTCATCTCCCAAAGTCTTACTGTGCGAAGTGTATGAGCCACTGGAGAACTCTTAGTAAGCAGGATGAGGTTAATAGGGAGCAATAGCCTCTGGAGTAATCAGAAGTGTGTGCATTCTGTAGATTTCATGAGCACATACATGCAGGTGCACACACACACACACACACATACACACACACGCAAAAGCAGCAAGAGAGATAGAGGGAGGGAGGGAGGGAGGAGAATAAAGAGAGCAGCTGGCTCGAGCCCAAACGCCTGACACAGCATTATGTCCACCTGCAGTGTTCTTTCTCTGCGCTAAGCCTCTCTGGATTTTAAATGTAAACCAACCTTTAAATGACCAGAAGACCTTTCCTCAGTCCTGCTGTCAACGTGACTGTAGCAGTAACTGCATTACAGTCTCTCAAACTTACAGATGATCTATTGAGTACACTTTGCTCTGTATTGATGTCGCAAAGAGAAAGCTTTGGATGAATTGTGTTTGTACTCATTGTCACATGTAGAATGTCCTTGTAGATTATAGTGAGTGTAACTGGCACAGCATAGTGCAGCTATTGAGTTAATAACACGGCTGTGGCATTAATACACCACCCCCGCCCAAGCCTCACACTCCAGCAGCCTCTTCCTTCCCATTTCCTCTGGGGAAAAGATCTAAACAAATCTCCCAGTGAATTTCCCAGCAAATGAGAGTAAATTGGGTGTACATTATAATTTAAGAAGACGCCAAAGTCACCAGCTGGTCGGTCTCTCTCTCTCTCTCTCTCTCTCTCTCTCTCTCTCTCTCTCTCTCTCTCTCTCTCTCTCTCTCTCTCTCTCTCTCTCTCTCTCTCTCTCTCTCTCTCTCTCTCTCTCTCATCTTTCTCTCTCCCTGTTGATTTCACTTTAACCTCTTTGGAACTCACCAAGTGTCAGAAAACACAACCCTCTCTCTTTTCCTCCAACTCTCTAAAAACGGGGCTGCAACGGAGCTGATACAGATTTGAATTTTTCTGACGTCAGAAAAGGGGTGCTCCGCCTATATATGGGCAACTCTCCACCTATCAGGGGAATGGGGGATTGGGCCACGACCACTGCCATTGCCGCTCGAAAGCGCTGTACATATGCCAGGCCTGTAAGTGGCGCTCTAGTCTGCGACAAAAGCAGCGAAGAAGACTTCTCACAGAATCAGCCCCTGCAAAAACAGGGCTGGAAAAGAGCAAATAGAGCGAAATGAGGCATGGCTAAAATGCAGGATCTCTTTGGTATTTTGAAAAAAAAACTTCACAGACATGTTTTATATAGGTATGGCCCTACAATATATTATTCAAATATAGCATGATAGGTCCACTTAAGTAGTGGTTTCTCTGCTCTGTGCTCCATGAGAGGAAGCAGCACTGTAGAGATAGCAAATCCACCACCTCATTCGTTTGAATCCATCTGGATAGGATCACTATCAATCCGCCCGCTTTACACCAGTCCCATAATAGGTATCTACTCTAGACTGTTATGTAAGGACACTAATCAAAGCTGTTCCCTCCATCTCCTGAATTCTCATTATTCTGAAGAAAAAGGATATTCAGGGGCTCATTCTTGCCAATCAGCTAAAACCCTCTACAATGTTTGCATCACCCTACAATACTTTCATTTTCAAACTTCTCTCACACAGAACTGGTCTCTCAGTGTGCATACCTCAAAAACCCCATCAGTCAAAGAGTTAGCCGACATGTCTGCTTGCATGGGGGAGACTGTTATACACACCGCAATTTATGTTACCTTTAATTAATGGCATCAACTCTGCATATGACAAAGAGCTGTATGTCTTTGTAATGGATGGTGGAGATGCAAGGAGGGGATTTAAAAGGAGGCAAGTTTAAAGTATGGTTCTAAAAATAAAAGAGCTAAGGAGAAGGAGGCGTAAAGAGCCGAGGAAGGGGAGCTGACTTCGTGTCAAGGTTTGAACTTGAGGGATGCTCATCAAAGGAGGGACAGACTGACAGTGTCCTTTTGGGATTAGTTTGGATGCGATGTGGACAGACGCAGGGGAGGGAGACGCAGAGTGACACATCATGCATCACCTGTCAGACACCCCACCAGTAAGGTCGGGCGTGTGACTGGAGACACTGGCATAAATGATTACCCAAACCTCCTTGGCTAAGCTTCAGACATGCATTTTTCATCCTCAGGGTCGGGGGTTTGAAAAATAAATTTCATGTCTCTCCCTGCTGCTTGCTAAGATCACCAACCTGCCAGGCCTAATCATACATCCCACTATACTCACACACCAGCCATATCTCAAATGAGAGAAACCTTCAGGTAGGGGAGGGCTATGGGAGGCATGAGAAATAAGCCACAGGAAAAAATAATTAAACTTTTCCCCAAAATATAACATTTTTCCAAAATCGCACTAGAGTAAAAAAGGACTGTTTACCTTTCCAATAAATTGGCATAGCACCTTATTAAAAAAGTTAGTGATAGGGACTGCCAGTTGCCCACAGTAACATTGTTGACGGTTGAGACATGTAAACAAAAACACTTTGGCATTATCATCATTCTAATGGGCAGAGGAGCCCCATTGTTTACTGAGAGCTATCAGAACAAATTAGTAAGTAAAAAAAGGACTTAAAGCAAAGTGCATTCTGACCTTAACTTTTCTGGAGTTTACCTTTAGGAACAAACTAATAATGCGGGTGGTTGTATATGCAGTGAATGTGTTTAAAGGTATAGTAAGGCATTTTGGGAAATGCAGAAAAAAACATGATCATGTTTGTACACTAAATGTAAAGCTGCAGCAGACCATATTCTTAGCCTAGCATGAGGATGGGAAACAGATGTGGTTTTACTGGGAGTTCTTCCCTGGGCTATTTCTTGGCTGAGAGCAGCAACTTATCACTGGGAGGTTTCCTGGCAACTAGCACCACTGTTTGTGGACAAAAACCCTACGCTTATTGTCGGTTGACTCTGGCTTTCGATTTAGCATAATATATGTGAGTGCAATCAATCTAATCATTATACTGTTACAAATAAAGTGTATTCACCAAAATGTCAAACTGGTATTTTAATTTAAACAAAAAGTAATAATTTTTTCAAAGAGCAACATTCTTGTTGTTGGGACCCTTACATATCCGCTCAGTGCAGTTTGCAGCAGTTTGTCTGCTCTACATTAGAAATATGTTTTCTCTGTCAGGCCAGACGGAGAGAAGGTTTGGCATGGCAAGGCCAATAGAGATGCATTTGGACAGAGAATAGCAGTAGGTATCAAGTCAGTCCTAATGAGGACATTAAAACCAGATCAGGCTGCTACTTCCGAATGTCACCCCTCTCTCTCGCTTTCCCCTCCTACCCATTTCTGATCACATTCCTCACTCTCTTATTCCACCCTCCCACTGAGATGGACTCACTGTTGTCCTGGTGGGGATTTCACAGACCGCCAGTTAGTGGCGGTGGGCTTGGCTTGCCTGTGTGAATCCGTCTAGAGTATGGGAATGTCATCTCTGTGATCCCCTTCCCCATACTGCGCTACGCCTGGGATCATGCCCACGGCCTGCTGGGAAAATCCCACGTCCTTAACTGCAGGAGAGAGATTATACTCTCTGTCCAACCCCCTCCCTTTTTACTGCCACCCAACCCTCCAGGCTTTCACTCTCCTCCATGTAAGTAGAAATGCTCATGCCGTTTTTAATCGAACACAAATAAACAAGTGGGCTACACACTGACTGTAAGCACACAATAATTCAATACATGTAAAAGGCAAGGTTAAGGTCAAGTCCATTTCATTTTGGATGGATTTAAAAGCTGGAAGTGTTGGTCACATAACATGACATTCATTGAAATGAAATTTGATTCAGGTAGAATCCTTGTTGTGTAAGGCCATGGTGTCACATGTCCGCAAACGATGTTCCACACATGAAAAGGGAGATTGCAGGCAACAGAGGTGGCAGATGATGAACTCTGCATCACAGAGGGAATGAGACATGGATGAGAAGATATAGACAGGGATAAAAAAATGTAAGAATACTAAAGCATCGTAGGATGAGGTGAGGAGGCACGGGCCAAGAGAGATCTGATAGAAATGAAAGTGTTGAACAAGCAGAAGCGACAAACGCCTCAGAAATAAGAACAGTTAGATCAGAGTGAGATTGGGGTTCAATCCTGGAGATGATCCCCTGTTTCTTCGTTGGCCTTTATCCTGGGGGATGTCGCCACCTGCTTCCACATCCTCTCTCCTGTTTCACGATCAGAACCAAGATCCTATCGTCTCATCTCCACTCGTCTCTGCACAGCATCGCCACACACACTCAGTGACATTTGCAAACATCCACACACTGAAACATGCATGTATGCAGTTAAGCCCTGCCCAGAATAAGCAAACATTTCCTAGAATATGTACATGCAACACACACACACACACACACACAGGTGGTGGCAGCAGTGCTTAACTAGGAAGGTAATTGACTTCAATGGCTGGTACACAGGAGTGAAAAATGAGGTGAAATTGACTGTAGGCTGCAGGCTCTGGAGGAGAAGTCAATGAAGAATTAAACTGTGTGAAGGTCAGGCTGTTGTGATTTTCTGAGTGTGTTTATGTGCAGGCAATCTTTATATGCACAGGCGCAAGACAACATTTTCAATCTGCTGGTAAACACTAGCGCTTACTTCTCCATTAATTGTCCTTTGTGTTCCTTTAGGTATTCAAAGCTGAACGACCCGGCAGATTGGCTGTCCATCAACAGAACCAACGGTCAGATCCTAACCACAGCCATGCTGGACCGGGAGTCTATCTATGTGAAAAACAACCTATATGAAGCAACATTTCTGGCAACAGACAATGGTAAGCCTTTTCTAATGCACACATTTCATTCTTGCTGTTCTTATTCCCATTGTTAAAAGAGCTAAAACATATTGACAGATTGTACACTCGAGCAATTACTGTTTTTAATGTATATCATTTTGCCTTCGCTACTCTGAAGATATAATACCAATTATTTTCCTTTGGTTGTTCTAGTTTTTAACATTTAGTAATAGTGTACTGGATCACAGAACGGGCAATTCCTTAGTCATTTTGATTTTATAAAAGCATTGCCTGGGATGAAAGCACAATTAACACCTAAATGGAGTAAGTAACATCCAAAAAGCACTTTGAAATGAGCACTCAGTAATTTCAAAGCACTTTAACATTGCCTTTATCGTGTATGGGTCTTAGACTCAGGGCTTCTGACTGGTAAGTCATTGGTTGAAGCGACAAAACCAGCTGCAGACAGGAGGGTGGAATAAGTTAAAATGGACACAACCTCTCACAAATATTGAAAACGTCCTTGAGAAAGGCAATTACTGCTGTTGCCAGTGCAGCTGGAGTTAAAAGCTTGATAATAAATACATCGAAAAATATGAAAATATGGCTTACAGTTAGTTGAAAATAAAGACATTTGTGGTTCAGAGATGGAAGAAGAACAGCATTCATGTGCATTGCAGCCGATGTTGAAAAAAAATCCTGAATTCACATAAACTAGTCACACTGCTGATTCGCTCGTCCTTCTTTTTTTCTGTCAATTACTGCCCAATCCTTTTCCCTTCACATTGTGGCATATATATTTGCTCTCAAAGTTTGACATCCCTTTTTCTCAAGTGGAAGTGAGTTCTTGGAAAGGAAAGCTTTTTCCCCTCCCTTCTCCAAATGGCCTTATCAGTGACGTGCAGGGCACTGGTGTGTTTACCTTAAGTTGAGCTGGCTTTGAAACATTGCAGTATTTATAGGTGTGAGCATGTGTGAAGAATGCTCTCATTTGTTACATGTTGATGTGAGCATTAGTGTGTGTTTGTTTGCATGTGTGTGTGTGAGAGGGCTTTTTTTGGCGATGATTGACAACTTCAGACGCCATGACATATAACCTGCAGTGTTGATGGGAAGGGAGGCAGCGGGATTAGAGGTTGACTCACTCCTGCTGTTTGAACTTCACAAACATATCATTTCTCCCCCTGTTATTTCCCTAGACTCCTTTTTTATTTGTATGTTACCTATTTCCGTAGAGAAGTGTTTTCTCATCCTGACCTCTGTAAAGTGCACAGTTTAGAGCGGTGTATGTTTGGCTAATATTGGAACTGTGGGCATCTGCAACTCACGAGGTAAATGGGCATCTACCAATCAGAGGGTCAGTGGTTCAACCCCTGCAGTCCACATGAATAAGGGTCCTTAGGCAAGATGATGAACCCCAAATAGTTCCTGTAGGCATGTTTACGGTTTTGAAGTGTATTTATGAAGTTGTTTTGGATGAAAGCATTATCTAAATGACATGTAAGGGTATTTCAAATAATCCAAAACATGAGACCAAGAGTGTGTGTATACATATTTGAGTGTGTAGGCCACATCAGTGTGACTTTGTGGGGGTTACTAGGAGTGCCAGCTGTCATAACGTGAGAGGGATTATGGTAAGAAGAACCATGAGACGGTAAGGCTAGGATGGGACATGAAATCAGGTTAAGAAGCTGTTTTGCTACCATATTTTGATGTCGACCCACGACATATTAGGCCTTCCTCACACCCTTTTGACACACACTCTTCATTTTTAGACACCCTGTGGTATTGTTTGTGTTTTTCAAAGAGTATATGGTAGGCTTGCTACAAGTCTTTCCACCCTCCCTCACATCTCTGAGCCGCCATCAGAAAAAAGGAGTTAATACAAATCCTTTTGAGGAATTTACACAAACATAATTATTTATTTAGCTGGTTAAAACCCACATAATTCTCCTATCAGCTGCGGCAAGCTGCTTCCACATGTCCCCCATACATGGCTGGGATTAACAAAGCTGCTGAAGGAAAAAGCCTGTGTGTGTGTGTGTGTGTGTGTGTGTGTGTGTGTGTGTGTGTGTGTGTGTGTGTGTGTGTGTGTGTGTGTGTGTGTGTGTGTGTGTGTGTGTGTGTGTGTGTGTGTGTGTGTGTGTGTGTGTGTGTGTGTGTGTGTGTGTGTGTGTGTGTGTGTGTGTGTGTGTGTGTGTGTGTGTGTGTGTGTGTGTGTGCATGTGTTTACTGTTTTATTGTAGATGCTACCAAGGTGCAGCTGTTTTTGCACATGTGCAGACAAAACAAAGGTGATTACAAAATGATTCTGCTAGGGTTGGGGCAAACAGTAATAGGGCAGGGGTATAGCAGCGTTTTATAGAATTGTTTGGCTACTTATAGTTTTCCTCAATATATAATCTGCACTTCTGGTTGGTAACAAACATTTTAAATCTGATGCAGAGTATTTGCCAGGCTTAGCAAATCACCTCTTCCTCACATTACACTGTGACTCATACTGTATGCGTAAGAGCCAAGAGTGCTTTCTTCTGGATAAGTGCTATAGCTGTATGTAATTTGGCAGCTGCTATTACCTTTTTATGTGAATGGTCCAGTTTAAAACTAACTATAAGTAGAAATAAGATGATTATATTACACATTTATGATTATTAAACCTTTAAAGTGACTGGTGCGTGGATGGATGTAGACTGCTCCAGTGCTCCAGTTCCACATATTGTAAATTACTGATCACTCCATATGTCTTCAATCAGTTGAACTTTATGTATAATGATAATGGTATCGCAATAATATTGGTATTGTTACGAGTCAGAAGGAATTTCAACTCCCGACGGTCTCACTTACGGCTCTTCTTTAGCTGTGTCTCACTCCTGTGGCAAATGTCTTGCTCTGTTGCCGTGTTTAATTGGCAGATCTGTCAGCTTTGCATATATCTTTGTAAATTACATCGCCCTTATCTCATCCCAAAGATGGGCCCTTGGGGTCGCTTGATTCCATCCAATGGCTCAGCCAGTGGGGCATGGCGGGGAAATGACTCGTAATTGGAGGCAGCTAAGGGTCGTCACCCCCTGACACACACTCAATAAACAGCTCTGAGCTTTATACTCCTAAGCCCCTTTCTTTCTTTACGTTCCTCCGTGGCACATTTTCACACCACACGTACCCATTCATGCATTTTCTCCTTACTCCTCCATCTCGCTCTGATTCACCAAATGTCTATTCGTTACTCTCAATTCTCCATAAATGTTGTTGTTGATGGTCTGTTGCTCTGTTCAATTAATGCAAAGGACTTCAGGATTGTGTCTGCAGATGAGGTGTGTGTCTGTGTGCGTTAGTGCATGTTATTACAGTCCGAGGCTGACAATAGTGTAGAAATGCAGCACCTGCTATGGCTGCCTGCAGTAGCATCAGACTACATTCCTCCAATTGCCTTAAAAATGTCCACAGACTCACAACATTGAACGTGCAACACTGGTGGCAATGAGTTGATCAAAGACAATATCACAACTTTGATAAAGTCACATCAGCATGTATAACAAAATGATTGTGAAACTTGTATGCAGATGTGGCAACTGTGTGTTCCTAAAGTGCAGTCAAATACACCTATAGGACATTTTGATCATATTTGGTTCCAAATTGAGCTTTTAATATTACAAATAAAAGAATGCCATATACTGCAGGTTTAACACATCGGCTTCACACCCTTTAAACTACCCAGAAGAGAGTAGGAAAACAAAGGATGTCTTTGGCTGAATCTGACAAGCCATCTCAGAACAATGGAGTTAATAAATGTGTATTGCCTCTGGTAAATAAATAACATACTTTATGCAATGGTCTGATATACTCTGCAATGTGGAAAAGGCGTTCACAGTGAGTACATATTTTTAAGGAGTGATTTATTATGTGTAAGCAGGGACTCATTTGTTATGTAGGTATGTAGGTGGAGACGCAGGACTGTGTGCACTACAATGAGAATGGCCTTTTCACCTGTCAGAAATACACTGTTAATATTTCAGGCAGCATGCTTTTATCTGGCTCTCCTAGTTTTTGTGTAAATACACACAGACAAGCACTTGTTTGATTGTGTTACAGTCATCATTATTGTATCTAAGCAGTCTCCAGGCCAGTGGATGTGCCGTGCCTGCTCTGGATCGACTCTGATGCTTTGGATTTCGCTCTGAAGCCAAAAGAGGAGCTGCTAAGCACAACTGTCAAAAGTAGTTCTGTCAAGGGCAGAAATTCTCCTCCAGGTCTACGGCTTCCCTACCTCCAACATCACCAAGTGGAAAGACAGATTTCCTTTCACCTCTTCTCTTTCTTGTATTATCTCGTTTTTTTTATTTCATTACCTATCTCCCGTCTGTCTTCCTTCATGTCCTGTCCCTGTTCTCTTTCAAACATCCCTCTCACTTCACACTTTCGTCATCTTTCCTCCCCTCCTGATGCTATTTGCTCCTCTCTCTGCTCCCAGGCTCTCCTGCAGCCAGCGGCACAGGCACTCTGCAGATCTATCTGATAGATATTAATGACAACCCCCCAGCCCTCATACCCAGGGAGTCTCAGATCTGTGAGCGGGTAAACAAGAACGTCCACGGGGTCAACATCACCGCTGCCGACGCCGACACAGAACCCAACGCTGGACCCTTCGTCTTCGAGCTGCCCAACTTCCCCGCCAGCATCCGACGCAACTGGACCATCTCTCGGATCAGCGGTGAGGAGTGTGAACGTAGAACCCCGACATTAGAGAACATGGGAACATTAATTTATGATACGTTTTACAGTGCCAATGTTACAATTAGTACAAAACATAGTGTAGCATTAGTCTAAACATTTAATACTAATCTTTATCCATACGTTTATAAACGTAACGTAACCTAAATCCCGTCAGATGCCTCTTTTAAAACTCCTTCTTGCACATGTGTACTATTACTGTACTGTATTATACTGAAGTTATTAAATATGGTAGGAGTATGGGCGATTATTAAATACTATCAAGTTTAGGTTATGTATGTAATTTATTATGTTATGATCATATATGATATAATATTACAAACATTTTTTAAGATTATATATTTAATTTCTTGTTATAATACTGTTTCCAAATCCATGATTTCCAGCAAATTGCATTGTAAATCAACATTTTGTTTTGTTTTATACGAGTAAAAGATTTGTGATTATGTAACACATAATGGATGCATGAGATTTCCTAAACACTTGCCATATTGGGTATATTGATATAACATTTAAAAAACATTCTAATTAATAACGTGACAATGATTTCAAACGTGTCCTATGTGGAAGCATTTTTTATATTTTGGTCAAGAGAAACCTATTTGAAATGTGATGCTTATATTGTAGTTTTTTTAATAATAAATGTGAATATTAGTTACATCTTGTAACTTTTCCGTTTCCTCTCTTCTCTGCACAGGTGACTACGGCCGCCTTGGCCTGCGGTACCAGATATACCTAGAGCCCGGGGTGTACGAGGTCCCTGTGATCGTGTCGGACTCGGGGAACCCTCCGATGTCCAACCGGTCCGTCATCAAGGTGAAGGTGTGTCCCTGCGATGAGCACGGAGACTGCACCACCCTCGGAGCTGTGGCCGCCGCCGGCCTGGGGACGGGAGCCATCATCTCCATCCTCATCTGCATCATCATCCTGCTCAGTGAGTATCAGCTGCTCACATCCCACCCACTGACACCTCAGAACTTCCAGACATGTCACACACACACACATACATGCACTAAGGTAAAAGTTAAGTCTGCTTGTGATTTGATTCTGCCAAAAAGAGTGCATTTCAGGGTTCAGTCATTAAACATTCACCAGGCTGCGATACAGCAACGTGAACAATAGTTTGTATAATGGATTAATGCCTCCACTGCTGCACTCTTCTCCAGCATCTCCTGACAAGCAGGTTTCTGTCTTCTTTTCCTGGTAGGGCGTGTATCTGCTGTTATCTGCTATGGCTGGTTATTCATGCCGCTGGCGCACTTTGATGCCGTGGGACACATTATTCAAACATATAGACGTCCTGTTGACAAACTGAGCGGCTGCTGCAGGGTTCTATAGCATATTTAAACTGTTGGATGTTGTGACTGGATTGTAGCCTACTGTCTGTGTGTGAATGATCCATCCTTCATTATTTATACTACACTAAGTTTTGGAAGTGATTCACATTTTATTTATTTTAAAGTTTATTTGACCAAGTCAAGTTTTACATTTCTCTCTCAAGGAAGTCATTTGTAATTCATTGATCTAAGAAATGTAACGCTAAAACCAGAAAAAAAAGACTGGTCTGGGACTCAAAGTTTGTACTGGTTCAACCCAGTCTCACGGCATTTCGTGTTCACCAACACGATTTTTAATCTATTGATTCGTGTTCACCAACACGATTTGCCCCTTTTTTTCGTGTTGCACAGCACGATTTTAAAAGCAATGTATTTCTACTGCCTGCAGCACGTATTTTTCTCCGGTCGGTCGAGGAAGACCGGAAGCTGTGTGGTTCATAAAAACATGTTCTTACTCAATATCAAGCCACAGTTATTGCTTTTATTTGAAATCGTATAATTTCGGACTTTTGTTGCCGTCTATGAGGAAAATAAATGGGGCTCAGAGCCTCAGCATACTGAAATCTGTATTTTTTAAATCTTTTTTTCCTTCTAATCTGTTATTCTTTTCAAAATAACACACTTTTATTTACTCACCAATAACACACAATTATCCTTGCTTTTATTTATTGGTTTAATTCCATAATCTCGGGCTTTTTGGGCGTCCGTCAGGAACTGAATTCCAAAATAAAAATAACCGGAAACAGACGTAGGCATTTCGAGCGATTACCCAAGATCCTCAGCTATGGTTTTAAGCTTGTTTATTGGATGTTTTAGCCGCAATGCATGCTGGGATTTGGTGTTATATGATATGAAATCCGGAAAACATTTTAAAAGAATAAAATAATACTTAATTCCGAGCGCTCTTGCTTTTCTCTTTGAAAGTCATCACATAACGGCATTGTAATACACGGTTCGGCTGCATTGTATATTACAGATCTGCCGTAGTTCTTTATGTATAGAGCCCTGATGAGAAGACCTTTGGAAAAACTGAGAAAATGCCGCCGAAACTGAATACTTGACGTGGATCATAAATATATTCAACAATTAAACAACATCTTCAATTTCTCTTCACACAATACGTCTCCTTGCAGTATCAACACTAATTCGGCTGACTTTTACATTTGATCTAATTCACAGATAGGTTATATTTACACCATAACGGTGCACAGCTGATATAAAAGGACTGTAGTTTTTAAAGATATTACTGATTTTCTTTGAATGTAAGAATGTAAATACTGAGTCTGAAATAGTATAGCAATATGCTGTAAAATTATGTGAAAGCATGCATAAAACTACACATCTTCAGATGTTGTACGAAAACATAAGTGTCCTACACTAATAATACAAAGTTATTATGGCTGTGTGCACCGCCTAGTGGTTAAAGCACGTTATTGAATTATTGTGTTTTATTTGATTAAACAAATATTAAGAGTACATACTTTCATAGGGGGAAAGTATAAATATAGAATATAAAAAATCAAGAAGATACTATAAGTGATCTCTACAATAAAACAGTTTAGTGCAGAATGTACAAAGATATTAATAGGAGGAGGTGAAAAACAGAAAAACGAATTAACCTTTATTTAAACATTAAATAACAGATTACGGTCTTCTTTTAAATAAGAAAAAAACGTTGGGGGTATCTATCTACAGATAAATATTAAGCCTGACAAAGTACTTAACGTCTAATATATTGCTTTCCTGCAATGTTAACTATGTTGAAGCACTTATTTTAACTGATATTATACATATGAATTATACTCTTATGTATGTAGATAGAATAAGAAATGTGCCGAATATGACAGTTTAATGGTGGAGGTACACACATATTGATAGATGTCTTGTAATGCACTGTTGAGGAACCTGTGACCCAAGTGTTTCATTCATTGCATAACTACACTGTAGTTGTGTATATGATATGTCAATACACCTTTGAAAATCTTGAAAGGGATGTGAAAAATAGCCATAATATACAGTCTTTAATTAACTATTAGTAGAGAATAACGAGTAATGAATATACTTTATTACTCGTTTCCATTCATGTCAATTGCAGATACATGTTTAGTCTTCTCAAGCACCAACTATCAAATATCTCTCCTGATTGTTGGCACTTGACAATCACCTTACCTGAATTTTACTCAGGTGTAACTAAAGTCTGATTTAAGGGTTGTTTATATTTCACATAATTAATAATATAATAATAATAATTAATAATAATTAAAAAACTTAGATGTCTATATATAAGCTTCTGCAGTGAGGTTCATGGCTGGTGAGGCTCTGACTCTTCAGGTTTACAAATATTATATTTTGATCCTAAATCAAAATATCATATTATTTTCAAAAGCTTTTTTTGTCTGATGCTTCAATTAATTTTAAACAGACAGTTCAACAAAAGGATACCCAAAAAATGTAATTGTATCATTTAAATATTGAATTGTTCTCTCTTAGTAAGATCCCATTTTCAATCAAATTGCAGTCTTACCTTGACATGAAGATGAAGTCCATTTGCCTATCCTTCTGGACAAAAATCTCTATTACTTTTTTGTAAAAGTCCTCCTTATGTTCTTGTAGTTTCAAAAGTCTATCATAAATCTGATCTAATCAATAGATTTATGATTCGAAAATTATAAAAGTAGGGTAGACATGTGGATATTATCCGGCTGAACAAAACGTGCATTTATCTAACAGGTTTGTTTCCCACAGATCTTATTTTGAGCTATTTTCTAAAATCCTATGGAGAAATATCATTGCTTTTTTGTGGAGGGAAGCCATGCGCAGTTTATTTCCGGGTTTTAGGACGCCTCACTGCAGCTCTCTCTCCTCCTCTTCACACACCACACTTTTCGCGGCACACGTACTTACAGCCAATCAGCTCTGAATTATGTGAGATGACGTATGGTGGGGATGGCAGCATGCCCCTATGGTCATTATTTTTTTGCCACACACATTAAATAGGACAATACTCTGAGCATGCGCAGTGTAGTTTTTACAGTCACCATTGACTTAAACAGGGAGAGGGAGGGGCAGGATCGGGTTTTGTCCCACATGGCTCAAAACAGCTCAATAGGCACACACTGTAGACACTAATTAGAAGAACACAGACTAAAAGGGCAATGTACAGACGAATCAGATGAATAAACATGATCTTAAAATATATTTTATATATTTTTTAATTTATTTTTTGCATTTTTTTGTAATCATTACTTTTAATACTTTCTGCTGACACTAGGTGGGGCTGTGCCCCACCTGCCCCTAATGACCAGTCGCCACTGAGCATGTGTAGTTCTGGGGGGGGCGTTCGATTCCAGTTTTTGATAGTCTGGCGTGGTTTCGTTCCATTTCTCACAGCTGTTTGACGCTCTGCGTAACCTTACGGGGACTGTAGTCCTAAACGATAGCTGGAGATTATGGGTAGTGTAGTGTCTTCGGCCATCCTAAACTCAGGTAATGTTGACAATCGCAATGATGCTCGAAATGTCCCTTATAGGCCTACGTCTGCTTCCGGTTATTTTTATTTTGAAATTCAGTTCCTGACGGACGCCAAAAAAGCCCGAGATTATGGAATTAAACCAATAAATAAAAGCAAGGATAATTGTGTGTTATTGGTGAGTAAATAACAGTATGTTATTTTGAAAAGAATATCGAATTAGAAGGAAACAAATATTTAAAAATACAGATTTCAGTATTCTGAGGCTCTGAGCCCCATTTATTTTCCTCACAGACGGCAACAAAAGTCCTAAATTATACGATTTCAAATAAAAGCAATAACTGTGGCTTGATCTTGAGTAAGAACATGTTTTTATGAACCACACGGCTTCCGGTCTTCCTCGACCCGACCGGAGAAAAAGACGTGCTGCAGGCAGTAGAAATACATTGCTTTTAAAATCGTGCTGTGCAACACGAAAAAAAGGGGCAAATCGTGTTGGTGAACACGAATCAATAAATCGTGTAGGTGAACACGAAATGCCGTGAGACTGGGTTGACTGGTTTTAGGGGAAATATCTCAACTAATAAATTGAACTCCATCCAATTATTATACACACATTTAATCCTCCTCAGGATATTGCTAACATGCAAATGTGTTATTGCTGAACATGGTAAACGTTATACCTGCCTAAGATCAGCACGTAGCATTGTTAGCATGCTCACCGAAGCATTTAGCTCAGAGAACCACTGTGCCTAGGGTTAGGGACTCATCACTGCAGACTCTTATTTTTATTAATGACAAGGTTTCCTGATTGTGTGTTTTGTTATGCAGTGTAGCCTAAAGGTTTATCGTGTGTGTGTGTGTGTTGTTGCAGGCATGGTGCTGTTGTTCGTGTTGTGGATCAAGCGCAGAGAGAAGGAGAGGCACACCAAGCAGCTGCTTATCGACCCTGAAGACGATGTCAGGGACAACATCTTAAAATACGATGAAGAGGGGGGAGGAGAGGAGGACCAGGTAAGATCCCGGGAGACAGACACCCATACACACACTTACTTTGTTGACCTTCATGCTAACCTACATCTGTGTGTGTGTGTGTGTGTGTGTGTGCGTGTGTGTGCGTGCGCGTGCGTGTAGGACTACGACCTGAGCCAGCTGCAGCAGCCTGACTCCTTGGAGCACATCATCAGCAAGCCGCCGGGCGTCCGCAGGGTGGACGAGCGTCCCATCATCCCCGAGTCCCAGTACCCAATCAGACCTGTCGTGCCCCACCCTGGAGACATCGGGGACTTCATCCACGAGGTGAACTCACACACACACACACACAGCAGACACACAGCTCCACCAGCGTTAGCTCTTCCACAGTGAGCCGGCCTCTCACTTCCACTTCCCATCGATCTGACATTTAATGTGATTACTCATTTCTGGACGCTGTTCAATATGTAAACTCCAGAATGGTGACGGGGACAGCTTAGAGTTTTGTTTTACTTTACCGCTGCTCTCGCGGCACCTGCTTTATTCACACACACACACACACACACACACACACACACACACACACACACACACACACACACACACACACACACACACACACACACACACACACACACACACACACACACACACACACACACACACACACACACACAACTGCACCGTTGGCACAGTGATGCGAGAAAATGCTGATTGACAGACTCGTGACAACACGTTCACACTCGAGAGGTGTTGGCAGCTGTTCAGCTTTGATCCATCCAGCCTTGACTCTGTATATATTTATAAATATATCTCTCTCTCCCGCTCACACATGTACTCACCTGATCTCGCTCCAGCAGTCTGGTAAAACACAAACACAGCAACCACATGGTGCTCCTGCCACGCACTGTAGGCTACCCCTGGGGGTTGATGCTTTTTAAGTTTCCAGCCACAGCATCTCTGTGCATTTCTGTGAAATGGATGAAGTCCACCTGCCTAACCTTCAGGACTCTCATTTGTCTTTCCAAAAAACATGAACATCAACAGGACCGACAGAAAACAGGTCTCTTAACATCGTATTCATAAAGGGGAACAACATATTGATATGTTGGGTTTGATAAAACCCAGAAGCCAGAATTAACTGGATAATGCATCCTGTTCTTTCTGCTTTTAATAATTGGAACACCCACATTATACAGACCCTACATTTGGTACAGAATAAATGTTCAATGGGATTATTGTGATTGTTTCTGATGCGATGCTTGTGTGTGATTGGCTGTGTGTCTCATATCTGTTGTATTTCCTCTGCTGTACTCAGGCCTTCAAAAAGAGATTCCTGATCTCAACGAGAATGCTTTATAAAATAAAGGCTGTTATAATTTAAGTCTTCTGAGCCTAACAGGGACCCGCCTTATGAAGCCTGTTGTGTATCCAAAGTTAAAGAGAAGTATCTTGTTGAATATTTTATTTTAGAACAAAAATATAAAGACAAAATGTTCATGCTGGTGTGAAATTAGATGAGATTCAACTTTAGTATCATGGCACAGAGTAAAAGTACTATCACAACATAAAGCAGTACAAATGCACAACTTTTTGATATTACGTATTTCCAAAATACGTCCATGTACAATGCCATGTCTCCTTTATTAAACTCTATACAGTATGATGTATCGCCTACAGCAGAATTCTGAGCTATTGAGGTATTACCATGTTACTTTATACCTCTACTATCCAGTCGTATCATACTTTGCGTAACCCTACGTTTTATTGACTACAGATGACAACTTGAGATTTTGCATACAATCAACTTTTAAATTAGTAAGCATTGTTGCAGATTAAACCATCAATTAGTGTATATAAAGAAAACAATCTGCTTCACCAGCTGCAGCTAAATGTGCATTTGCATTTTCTAGAGCTTGACACTCTCAGAAGGTTTCAGGACATTTTAGCCTCAGCTTCATCACTTTGATACTAAATTACTGGAGTTGCCTTCCAAGAACTTCTGCGTTTTTCAACCTTTTTTACATTATTTTCTCCAGAGTACTGACCCCTCCCTCCCCTCCTCTTCTTCATGTGTAGGGTCTGCGAGCGGCGGACAACGACCCCACCGCCCCCCCCTACGACTCCCTGCTGGTGTTTGACTACGAGGGCAGTGGCTCCACCGCCGGCTCCGTGAGCACCCTCAACTCCTCCAGCACGGGGGACCAGGACTATGACTACCTAAACGACTGGGGCCCTCGCTTCAAGAAGCTGGCCGACATGTACGGAGGAGGCGACGATGATTAAATAGTCACATATCAAACACACACACCCTCGTCCCGTCAGCTGGCCTGCCATGCTCTGTCTCTACAACACATGGAGCTCTTACACCCTTACTGAACACAAGTTAACAATGACATGTTCCCACTGACCAACCAACCAATCCAGATTCCCCCCCACAGAGCACCGGCGGCAGGATTCTGTTTCCGGGCTCTTCTCAACCGTCTCCTGCTCTAAGCCTGCAGAAGAAGCTCTGACTTGCAGGATCTGTTTGTATTTTCAAACGCTTGTGCTTTCTTTCCTTCAAAGGTTTTGTGCTAGATATAGATTTTAGTTTTGGGTAGTCAGATTTTGTTTTTCTCCTTAGTTTGAGCAGCTTTATTTGTCCCCCACTCCCCTTTGATTCTGTTCTCCTGAGGGTTATCACTCCTCCCTCAGTCAGCCCCCCCCCCCGCCTATCTGCAGAAGCTTTAGGTTGAGCTGCTTGCTTTTTCTGCGGGGAGCAAAAAGGGAATAAAAGAAGAACACATATGAAAGTCCTTCGTGCACGGAGGGTCCTGTTTTATTCTTTCTTGAACTGGAATTACTTAGAACAGAAGCACTGTTGTTTAAAAAGTGCCTTCAGTGGTGCGCATCTTTTAGCAGACTCCCGCTAACTCAGGATTGGTTGCCATTCTCTGGGCTTACATGCCCCCATATGACCCCTGACCCTTTAACGCAGACCTTCCCTTGTCATTCTCATCGCCCTGCAGCTCTGTGGTAGCTGCAGGAAGTGTCAGTGTCAGTTTCAGAGGAGAGTAGACAGGCCTCTGAGGGCGCTTTATGTAGACGTACTGCACCTATAGGTCTACAGTGTGTCTGTCAGACGATTCATTAACTCTTCAAGTCTGGCATATCTGTGTTCCTAGATCACAGCCGACTTGAATGTGATTCCTGAAATCACAGAAATACTTCATGGGACTGTCTTAGAGAAGAAATGCATTGCGTGTCTTTGTTTATCGTGGCTTCAATAGCAGCTGTGTTTGTTTTGAGCGCTCAGTATTTGCACCAAACTCGATAAGGCTTGTAACTGAACTTTGAAGATTGACATGTCACGTGTGTTACCTCTCTAATGTTATTGTATATGAATGAGGGTTATTTAAAGAGAGTTTGCCTTCAAGATCATTCAAGGTTTGCATGTTTGTCCCTTTGCCCAAAGGTAATTAACATGGCAGCAGCTATTGTGTGGTAAATGTGTCAAAGAAAAGTATTTAAACTGTACAAACATGAGGGAAAAGAAAAACTATGTGATTCAGCTCTGACAGCGTTACATGAAGAGTGTACGAGCCCCATTCTGAGATCCCTTTCTCTCTTTCATTTCCTTTCTCTTTTGTTGATTCACTGTTGTTTCTCAGAAAACTTTTAATATACAGACTTTGGTGCTGGTCCATGTCGCAGAAACTGAGAGAATTGAGCCTGAGCCAGGGAATTAGCGCCTCACAATCTGTCTCCGTTCAGGCAGCATTTCATTCATTGCACATTTTCTCTTGAATTCTTTGGCTCCAAGTTCAAGAGGTTTTGAAAATAAGTTAGAGGAAGAAAAAGTCTGTTACGAAGTATTATGAAAGCATACAACTAAAGCTTCAGTAAGAGACAGTGAGGATGTGACTTGAAAATGCAGCACTACCCATGGGCGTTTGTAATCCCATTTCAGACCCCCCAGAATCGCATACAGAGAACTGAAAAGAAAGCACTTTAGCCTTTGTTTTAAATTATTGAAATATGCAAAACATTTTGAAGAAGGGACCAGGGAGATGCTGCCGAACGATAGAAAGGTTAAATCATTCCTTATCTTCTGAGTGTTCGATGAAACACTCCTCGGTTGTTTCAGCTGGTTGACCAGGTCTTCTATTAATTATGAACGCTTGAAGGAAATCTCAGTAACGACCATGTGCTTCAGAAGAGGCTCTTTGTTTTTCTCCAGCTGCTTTTCACCCGTTACCTGCTCATAGTTCATATGAATGGCTGTAGATAAATACACTCGTTCCCAAATGGTAACAATTTGTTTTACTTTATGTTCAAAGTAGATGGAAAGGAATTCACTTGACAAGATATGGAAATGTTAATGCAAATATTCATAATGCCATTAGAATGAAATAAGGATGAGGTTTGACAATGAAGAAGGGAAGAAAGGTCAAAGTGTAATTAAAGAGATTAACAGGGTATAAACGTGGTGATTTAGATGAATACATAAATGGTTCAAATTGCACCTGGAGGTGTCGACATTGACAGCGGCGGTGTTCAGGATAGCTGTCGGCTTCCAGCGGAAACTGAGCGGTTTCCACTGCGTTCTGCTGGAGAAGCTTATCTATCCGATTGCTCCTCAGCCTACGGAATATCTTTACAAAATAAACACAGCTGTTACTTTCTGCTATTTGTGATTATTTCTGACATATAAATGTTGTATATTCGGAACAGTTTTATACATTTGGTTACCTGATTTATCTGTTTTCTTTCTGGTGTTTGCTTTTGATTTCCAGTTTTGTTTTTGAATGAATTCTTGGCATACTTCGCCACAAAAAGCCATGTGCATTTTAGAGAATCCGTGCGATTCTGTATGAGCTTACAGCCGTACCTGCATCGCTGTTCAAGGTTAGCTTCATCACTTCAGACCAACTTGTACAGTCTATACTAGCACACACTCACTCCTCTAGGCCTTACTGTATATATGTGAGTGTTCAATATTACATGAGCTCTTTCAGCAATGTTCTATGTCAGCTTCAGAGCTCCAACATTACTGAAGGCCATCCAGTGTTCACAGGATAAAGGTGGGCTCAATGAAAATGCTCATGCTTTCTAACAGATGTAAAGATGGGGGTTCAGCGCCAAACATAGCAGGAGGTGGCCCACACACACACACACACACACTTTACACAAGGTCACTTTTGTAACTGTGTCATACATACAAACATGACACAATGCCATTATGATGCTGAATGTTATCAAAGACTCGCAGTGACAAGTGGCAGTGAAAATTGAGTCCCGTTTAAATGCAGTTCGTGAGGGGAAATGAAGGAAGATTGATCATTACTTGGACTCGGTCCTCTTGTATTATTGACGTTCTTTTGCTTAAGTTTCGAGGGAATTAGCAAATGATAGAATGACGGAAGAACTATTGCACTGCTGTCTTCATGTTGGCTCTTCTGCCTGTGACTGGTGTTAGTTAAAGGACACTTATACCCGGGACACTGCCTGACCGAGGACACACACGTGACCGAGGACACACACATGACAGGAGGCTCCAGCAGAAGACGTCTGCTCTGCTTAAGCCAGAACTACAAATACAGACAGGCAGCAGTGTTTCATACGAGTTCTCTCAATACTGCTCAAGCCCAAGTGTACATAATGTAGTATTTGCTTGATGCTAAACAGACCAAGTTAGGCAAATTGTACCTGTACAATTGGAGCTTTTTGCATGTGTCTTTTTATAATGGACAGATGAGTTCTGTTACAGTAACCATACAACATTTTAAAATCTGTTGCAGCCCGCATGACCGAGGCTGCAGTCCAGAAGGGATTCTGGTGTACCATACTCAAAGTTTCAAATGAAGGAGAAAAAAAATCTGAAAAACGATTGCACAGTTATCGAGTTAAAATACTTTTTTTGTAAATTGTCAACGGCACAAATATTTTGTATTGTTGTTTGTACCATTTTGTAAGAAAATGTAAAAAAAAGAAAAAATAGGGAAAGAGTGTTGTTTCGAGCGTGTGTTTATAGTGCCACTGCAATCTTGGTTTCCAAATACCGTAAAGTATGCGCAGCCTTGCAGATCAACCTTGTAATATAGAAGCTGAGCTGGAGACCCCTGTCAGCATCATGTGTTATAAATAAAATGTCCCCTCCTTATAAGAACACTGCCTCCTGTCCTTTCTGTGCAGATTTCTGCCAGCAATGCTTTGTCTTTAAATTGGGGTTATTTTTGAAGAGGTTATTTTTACCAGAAATGAAATGTCAAAGTGTCCCTGGTGGTCGGAGAACTTTTCTCTATGTTAAGTCATAGTTTAACTTTTCATAAAAACATATTTTTAGTTTTGGTTAAACATCTACCATTCATAAGTTTCATGCATACAACTCCTGAATAAAAACAATATTGTGCAAAGTTCTGAAATGTTCCTAGTGTCTTCAGAAGCCTAAGCCTACTTGGAGCATTATGACATGAAAGGCTCTGTGTAGTTTAAAGGTAAACAGTTGCTGTTATAAAGTGAAAGTGTTAACTGGATTAAACTGTAAGAACACATCAGCTGATAACCAGACTCACGGTAGACAGTGAAGAAGCTGCAATAATTATGAGAAAACGTGATCAAACACTGTCAGTACTTCAAGTTTGGACTAGGAAAGAAGTTTGGAAGTGAAAAACGTGAAGAAAAAAAACGTCACACATGCTGTGCAGACTTGAAGCTGGCATCCTTCTCATCAGGACACATTCCTTAATGCCCATGTCATGTGGCAGAGTGCTAATTGAAGGATAAAGAGTGTTTCTCACGTCTAAGTGGTGTTTCTTGTTCTGCATAAACAGACACAATAATGAAGACCAGGAAATATTTTCACAATTCTTTATTCAAAGAATTTAGAATTATGATTTGCTTCAATTTGCGCTGTTTTAATATGTGGATAATTGAGTTTCGTATTCTAAATTAGTTTCAGTGCCAGTCATGAACAAACATAAGCTAAAATAATCAACACAATTAAGGCTGTTCATTTGTCAACTGTGCCTGTCATGGCCGTCTTCCAAGTGGAATAATGAAGCCTTTCACAGAGAAAAGCGCTCAGTGTGAAAAAACACAGATGTGCTTTTTCTTTCTTTATTTTTCTTTCTTTCTTTGCTTATTACTGTATGATGTTTTTATTTCAAATGTTTCCATCCATTAAAAATGTGTATTTGAATTATATACTATGATATTTGTCCCTATAATAAGATATTATTATGGTGTAACATAGTTTGATCTTTATAGGACATACCATAGTAGGACAACTTTTAGTAAACTATACAAGGATTATTTATATACTATTACCTTGTTAACGGCCCAATATTATGGTTGTTGTTTTCCTAACGTTTTGTGGCATGCTTTACTGTAACCTTTTTTTAAATGACATTGTAAGGTGTAAGGTGTACTTAACCATGACTGTTGGTGACATTTAAATTACATACTCTACTAGGACTTTTGAAATAGCTTTATTAACAAATGACAATGTTAATGCTATACTTTTAAAAATGTACTACACTATGTACTGTACTATGACTTTTCATTTACATTTTTGACATATTATACTAGGACTTTTTTTCCAAATGTAACACATACTATATAAGGAGATATTTTTCAAGATAGTATACTATGAGCTTGTTTTCCACATACTATAATATGACTTTTTTTCGAATAATCATTTCGACATATAATTAAAAAATCACAGCAGTCAGCTTCACCTGATGAATTACTGCACATTATTCAGAAAGCCAAATGATGTCTCATTTCTGAGGCATCTCAAATCATCCTCCTCCTTGATTATGTGGTCACGCAGTGCACCAATCAGCAGCTGACCTTTATCAGTCATAAACACAGCTGGAGGGGGGGGGGGGCAGGGTTTCATATGTACATCTGCTGCAGTCATAGAGAAAGAGGGGTGATGTAGAGAAGATTGGTTATCAACAGATGTCTCATTTGTGCAAAACATAGATTTAGAATATTTTGGACCAAACTGTTATATATTTCAAACTTGGAAACTTACAGAAGCTGCAATGATTACACAAACCATCAGGAAATGTAGTTAAAAGAGCTCAGTAGCATCATCAAACAGGCCAATGGAAGATAGAGACTCAATAAGTCCCCATACTGGAGACTGTAAACTCTGGAGAGCCTTTCTTGTGTGGAAATGAAGAAAATAGAACCGAGCGAGAGGGTACAGAAGGGATTTAAATGTAAGACATTTCACACCCAGCAATACAATAAGAACATTTATTTTTTCTTCCATGGGGTTTCTCAGCCTCGTTATTATACTTATCCAATTCCCAATACTGTGTCTTCAGATTCATATTTCTGATTTTAGTCATGAAAGCAAAACGTTTACTTTCCGCTAAGGTCTCATAAATCAAACATGTCAGTGCACTTTTTGGCAAGCATTTAAGAGGAAATTAATCGTCTGGATGTGGGCTGCGTATGAAAAGATGTTATCAGATGAATGTAAAAAACGCTTGTTAATATAGTTGAATGTGTTGATGCAACGAAGCACACACTCACCAGAGAGGATGTTAAAGCATCAGCTAATGCAGGAGCTCCATCAGGCAGCTTGGTGGAGGTAAGTACTGACAGATGGTCGGATCAAGTTGACTGTGTGTGTGTGTGTGTGTGTGTGTGTGTGTGTGTGTGTGTGTGTGTGTGTGTGTGTGTGTGTGTGTGTGTGTGTGTGTGTGTGTGTGTGTGTGTGTGTGTGTGTGTGTGTGTGTGTGTGTGTGTGTGTGTGTGTGTGTGTGTGTGTGTGCGTGCGTGTGATAGATAGCTACTCTCTGAATAGCTCTGGAGCGTAATATGATTTGGATGTAAGAATGGAATCTAAATCTGATTTCAGGCAGTACTATGGGCCCAGAGCTTCACTCCTTTATCTCTGTCCCTCGCCAGCCGTAATGTGGTCAGCTGCATCTGTTCTCTCCGGGGTGTGGTCTCACTGACCCGGGGGGGAACATTATCGCTTCCAATCTCAGCTTTTAGATGCCTTTGTGCCTCTTTCAAACGACTCTCATCATATCATAACACCCATTCTACCTTCCGCTGCAATCCAAACCGTGGTTCCTTAGAAAGCTCAGTGTGAGCGAATCTCTTTTCTTGTTTATGTGACCTGTGGAAAGCTGAGTGTAAACTTTCAGGATTGTTTTCCTGCATGGTTTTGTGGTCCTCTTGACTGTTTGAACCCTCCTCTCATTTCTCTTGAGAACTCCCCCACTCCCCCCTCACAGTGCAGTTACTCTCTGAGAGGATTAGATGAGGAGTTCACTGCAGGGGCATCAGGCAATCTGCATACAATAGCCCACTACCACTGTGAATAAATCCACATTGATGTTAGACAATAAAGCCAATGCGGTACAGCTATTTGTTTATTCTTATTACACAGAGCGGGGCACTTTGGATCATTCAGAGTATAAATGCATTACTTGAAAAGGACTCAGAACACAGACCGCCCCTGCCATCGCTATTTCACACTGTGTGCTATGACTGGGCCAGAGGCGGTCCGGCAGTCCACTAAAGCAGCCATTAGATAGATATCCAATCAGACTTGGGCCATTCCCTCCAGCCATCAAAGAGGAAATGAAAGTCACTGATGGAGAATATGAGGAAATGGTGTGGATAGATGGATAACTGCTCTGACTGTGTCTACAG